GTTCTGGTGTACCCGGATTTAGAAGACAGGTGGCTAAATCTGGTCTCAGATATAAATTCTTAATTGCATTTTTTGCATAACGCCGCTTCATTAAGTTATGTAACACCGCCACCATTTACACACTTTGCAAGTCCCTGGCTGACAAAATCGACTTCTCTAGATTGTCAATCTCCTGTATGATTTCGTATAAGCTCACACAGAATTTCCTTTGGGGAACCTTATTACATAGAGACCAGGGTTTTGCGTGTGTTTGTTTGGGATATATTTTAATTATAAATAACCCAACAATCTGATTGCTCAGTATTTTATCAACCTGATTGCTCAGTATTTCATTCAATATCTTTATGACCTACTTAATTTAAGCTGATTAACTTGTATTTCATGAGATACGTCTGGTCATTTTTAAATGCAAGAGCTCCAGCAAAAATTTAGCATTAACTTTTGATATGCTAAACTTCCGTCTCTATGTTTAGTCCTATAGAAAATCGACCCAGTTTTCTATCGGGAATATTAAAGAGTGCTGTAGGAAATGGCATTAGATTTCATTCTGTTTTTCTGTTTTTTATTGTTACTGAAGAATATTGCTATCTTAAAATTAGTTCAAGCAACAATTCACCTAAATTATGTAATGAAGACACCTTTGAACTTGTTTTAGATTTATATTGCTTTTATCACCATGAGAGAAAACATNGAGCACCTGTGGCATAAATACTGAGCACCTGTGGCATAAATTGGAATTTGCATTGCAGAGGAGAACCAATTCCTAAATAATCTTGACCAATTCCGCCACGTTCTTTAGGATGAATGGGACAATATCCCACATAACAGAATTGTTACCCATGTTGAAGGCTTGTCGCGCCGTCTACAGGAGATAATTGCAGTACGCGGTAGACGCACACGCTGTTAGGCACGTGATCTTTAACGAGCACACCCTAATGCTAATTGTGTGTGAATTTTGTGACATTTGATGGCGTCTTTTCAAATTTATAGTCATTTATTTACATCTTTAGAAGTCACAGTGAAACAGTCGATTTGAGGGGGTACCTCTTATAAATTTTACTAAATAGTATAAAATATGTATATTTTCACCACTATTTTGTATTTTTTTAACCATTAATCATGTTAGACAAGGTATCCGTGATAAAAAGCACTATTTCTAACAGTTCACAGCTATGAGGTGATCATTTGTAAATAAAAGTACATGGAAATGGGGGTGGGACAACCTTTTTGACCAATGCTGTATATAGGCTTACCAATGAATGGGAAGCGGACTCATGGGGGACTCTTTATCACGTTACACCGGGAGTAGTTGGCTCAGTACGACACTTTTGGCCTCGTGGAACCAAATCAGAATAAGTCAGAGCACCCAAACCGGTTTTAGAACGAGCGGCGAGGACTTGGCTACGGATGCAATGTCACTGTTTTGCAAATATCATGCCACATGACGCGTTTTATTCGCCCAATCTATGATACGAGACATCTTGGATCCTAGGCCCAAACGAATAAAATGTGTTAAATAGTTCTATTAATGAAAATTAGTCATCATTATTTCAACATATTTGTCGAGTGTAAAATTGTCCAATTCGAGGTCCGGTGGTGTAATGTATCTTCAACGTGTCCTTAAGCTATATAGCCCAGTCTCGTCTCCGCATGAAACCTATAAGGGGAAACTAGAAAAATGTTGAGAAAATTTAAAAACTGCCACCTTCGCTTAGTTGGCTTTTTCTTCGCTTTGATCGTATGTCTTTTAGTGATAACAAACATGGGTGATTCGTATAAACAATTCAACAGCTGGCAAAGGACAGTGTCAGGTAAGTCTATCTTTGATAAGAAAAAAGCAGCGGTTTATCTACTCGGAGATCCTCGCATCATTGAAGTCTCGCATCATTTAAATGTTTGCGGTGTATCTTACTTTATGTTACCTTAAAAAACTAGTGCCAAATAATAAGAAATACAGCATACCATTAGCTCGCAGCCTTCATAATGTGTTGTTGTTTATGTCGACGATGGGTGGTGCCGTAATTTGAAAAGGGGACAAAGAAATGAAAATTAGATGAAAGAATCTTTTTAAAACAGACACAGAGCAAACAATAACATTGCATGTATATTACTGGCCATGTCCACAAAATCTGAATATACAACAGAAATGGTTTATGAGAAATGCATTGTTTCTGTTTTTATCACATATGCATTAAAAGAATAACAAAAAAAGTATGTTAATATTGTAGCTTTGTTTCAGGTCTGAAAAACATTGGTAGAAAGAGCACTGCGTTGCTATCTTATGACTACAACCAGCAGACACCTTATAAAGCCGAAAACAAAGAAAGAGGAGAGACTTCGTTTACTTACAACTTAAACGAAAGCAATTATCAAAACGACAGCAAAGCCAACCGAGTAGATGCGCCGATCAAAAATAAAGACCTGAATTTAGAATTGTGCACGGCAGCCTACCGATACACTCCACCGGGAAGGCGATTGCAGATTGCTGGATATAACCACACTCAAGTAGATAATTGTATTGCACCCGTTTGTGAACTTAACAACAAACGATCTCCTGTAAATATCATTGGATGTAAAGCAACATCTGACAAAAAAATCAGTGAAAAAGTGACAGTCGTCGTGAAAACGATAAGGAGGTTAACCCTGGTAAAACGACTTATAGAATCCCTACATTATTTTTTCCCTGGAGTTAAAGTAATTGTAATAGATGATCATTTTATGAATAATACCACTGAAAACACGGAAGAACTTTGGAATAGGTTTTTGAAGAAATGCAATGGCTTGATCACTTATATGACTCTGAATGGAAATGCAGGGATATCCAAAGGTAGAAACACAGGTCTTAAAGAGGTGAAATCTGAATATTTTCTTCTTCTTGATGATGATTTTATCATAACCAATCAAACAACAATTTCAAAGATGGTGGGCATCTTAGATAGCACTGATCTGACACTTGTAGCAGGTACTCTAAAAAACCACCCGCCTTTCGTTTCTGTATTAAGAATACATCCAGGAAACTTAACATCACATTTACAGCCATGCGAATATCTGAACATGGCGTACGAAGAAATTCCTTCCTTCCCATATTGTTATGCAGTAGACTATGTTTTAAACCTTTTCCTTGCCAGGACTGAAGCCATTCGTAGTATTGGAGGTTGGGATGAAGACTTGCTGGTTGCAGAACACAGGGATTTCATGTTTCGTCTGAGAAAAGCTGGTTATAAACTTGCAGTTTGTACAGATATATATTTTAAACATAAGCCATTTTCTACACCAGATTACCACACATATAGACAAATACAGGGTGAAAAATTCAAGGCACTCTTTCAAATGAAATGGAACATCAGTGAACCTATCCGCATATATGAACCCAAATTTTATTTCAATCATACATGCATTGATAACTCAGCAGATTCAAGCAAGGCTACATGACATGACAACGTTGTACTTTTAGATTTCAGTTAAAGGTGAATTAAGGTAAATTGTTCACAGCTCGGTGATTTTGCACTCGTGAGAAATGTCACGGTTAAGGAAAATAAACAGTGGAGTCATGGCGTTTTACTTTTTTTCATAATTTTATATATTGTTGATTTATCTATATCAAATATCCCATACTCCAATTGCATCTGGTTTGTTTCGAGATAACATTTTACAGGCGCTATCACAATATTGCTTTACACAGAAAAAGGATATGGTGCTGTGAAGAAAGACAGCTGCTGGTCGAGGTGATAAGTTGGGATCTAAATACCTTGTGTTTGTGTGCAATACAAGATACACCTACATGTGTGTTATACATTCTATCTGTAAAGTTCAGGAGTGCCAGCATGGACGGAGACCATTACTGGAAGCTAAAAATCTGGCGCATATATAAATTTTTGCCATTTAATTACTGAAGGCTATTATCTGCACTTGGTAATCAAGGTTCTCAAACCTAAATGACGTGCTTTGAAGTTGAGTTGCATATTAAAGATTAAATTGAAAATCACACCTACTAAGACTCGCCAAACAGCCTTGCTATCACTGTTCTAACTTCTCTTCTTGTTTAAAATTAAACATACGGGTATATTTACTTATTTTCTGCTGTATACCAGGCTCAAGGTGCCAAACAAACTCTGGCACCATTTCACTGAGAATAAAATCGGAGTCCAAGTGACTCCAAACTTGGAGTCCAGCAGTGGTGCCTAAATTAACTCCCAATTGGAGTCAAGTTGACTCCGATGGAGAAATGCCACCCCAGACCCCACAGGAGGGTCACAATTGACTCCATTCACACATCCCTTCATCCCTTGATTTATCTCTTCAAAAGAGTCACCATGACCCCATATTAAGGAATTTTTGACTCCTCGGCACATCATGAACAAAAACAACAACAATAGCGCCTATGGGAGAGACAGCGAGTATCGTTCATTTCAGATTGTTGTGTCCCCGGAGGGGCTCGGACCCACATCCTCCGGCTCCAGAGGCGGACACTCTATCCACTAGGACATGCGGCCACACATGGTGTTGAAGAAGCAATAACAAACAATTTGTAAATCTGGTAATAAACAGCATGATATATATATATATATATATATATATATATATATATATATATATATATATATATATATATATATATTATCGGTGAGGGTACATATAGACATGACCTCGAAGTTCAATGGGTGTCTAAAGTATAAATTGAAGACATCTTTTTAGGGGAAATTACAGCTAAGATTTCGTTGCTCTTGTGTCTTCCGGTTACTTTCAGTGGTTTTCAATTAGTAATAAAGAGGTAATGTTTAACGTATAAATTAACGGCCAAGCCATGAATCGTGTTATTTTGATAAGAAAAAATAACTACCGGGACATGTACATGTAGGATATGAACCAACCACCTCCAAACATTTTTTTTCGGAAATAGTATCAAGACCGGCATTCCCCACTGATAAATGTCTGGCCTGTCATGATGTTGACCCCTCTATCAACCAAATCCCCCACTGAGTTAACGCTAAATCGCGAGGTTTTGGGCTCTCTTGGATGGTGCCCATTTACAACTCGTTTACATTATTTAAACATTTAATTCGTGCTAGACCAGCATCACTGCAATTTAGCATACGCTGCATGAATTTGTAATTCGGGTGTTCTATTTATAAAACTAAAAAGGACATCATGTCGAAGAAGTGTACGATTTGCCGTCTTGGTTTGGCTTTCTTCGTGATGGCGGGAAGTCTTCTTTTACTTGACTTTTCACTCAAGTATCGGTATAAACCTACTTACATACGAACTAAAGGAGATGACAGTAAAGTCTTCGGTATGTATATATGGGAAGATCATACGAATCTTCTATAATTGGGGTCAGTTTTTTCTGATCATAGTGTTCCATTAACAGCTGCAACGATATAGTTTGAAGGTTGTTATTCATGATGAAACTATTTTACAAAAAACGTATATCTGTCGAGTTATTTGTGCTTTTCTATTTCCCTCACAAATTGGAAGTCATAATGAAAAATGCTTAACGTCTAGGAAGTAGCAACTAAGCTAATTTTAGCTAAGCTAATTGCATGGTCATAAGGAATTCATTTTGGTAAAAAAAAGGGACTACAGGAAGGCCTATTAAAGGGCTCGACATTTCGGTCTATTAAAGTGGCAAATTTCCTCAAACAAATGTTGGACACGCCATCAGTATACACTTCGTTCTGGTGTACCCGGATTTAGAAGACAGGTGGCTAAATCTGGTCTCAGATATAAATTCTTAATTGCATTTTTTGCATAACGCCGCTTCATTAAGTTATGTAACACCGCCACCATCTACACACTTTGCAAGTCCCTGGCTGACAAAATCGACTTCTCTAGATTGTCAATTTCCTGTATGATTTCGTATAAGCTCACACAGAATTTCCTTTGGGGAACCTTATTACATAGAGACCAGGGTTTTGCGTGTGTTTGTTTGGGATATATTTTAATTATAAATAACCCAACAATCTGATTGCTCAGTATTTTATCAACCTGATTGCTCAGTATTTCATTCAATATCTTTATGACCTACTTAATTTAAGCTGATTAACTTGTATTTCATGAGATACGTCTGGTCATTTTTAAATGCAAGAGCTCAAGCAAAAATTTAGCATTAACTTTTGATATGCTAAGCTTCCGTCTCTGTGTTTAGTCCTATAGAAAATCGACCCAGTTTTCTATCGGGAATATTAAAGGGTGCTGTAGGAAATGGCATTAGATTTCATTCTGTTTTTCTGTTTTTTATTGTAACTGAAGAATATTGCTATCTTAAAATTAGTTCAAGCAACAATTCACCTAAATTATGTAATGAAGACACCTTTGAACTTGTTTTAGATTTATATTGCTTTTATCACCATGAGAGAAAACGTCCCTCTTCACTCAAATGTATTGAAATAGAATGACAAAAATAACTTTCGTAATGGCATGCATTCACTTAAATTACGGCTAGGGTCTAAGTTTCGTAAGGGTATCCACTCACTTAACTTATGGCTTGGGTTTACTGTAAGTTGCCATCTGTACTTCATTACATAAACTTAGGGCCTACTTAAGATGAATACATGTAGCACGCATTATAGCTGCACTTGAAAATAACACTGAAAGCCAAACCTTAGTGTGACTATGGATCTTATACAGAGTCAACAGGACACAAACACATATTATATTAAGATGATGCTATTCGTTATATTACACATCATTATGTACTACCCATATCACATTTTCTCTAACTTATCGTTTAGAATCATGCTTGCTATTTTTTTTTTTTTTTTTTTTTTTTTTTTTTGTGATTTCTGTCCAAAATACCAAACAACCTCTGATAATACTTTATTACGTCGCTCTCAAAGGCTTGGCTCTCAGTGTTGTGAATGCAACAGAAATTTTTAAAAGTGCAAAAAAAAAAAAAAAAAAAAAAAAATTAGGAGCAGTGTCTTTCAATATAATAGCCTTTGTTTTATTTTTAAGATAACAGCTGGCAATTACGTAATGTAACTGCACGTACTGAACATATACAGGAGATAATTTTTTACGGCGAAAACGAAAGTGATCATCATAGCAAAACGGAAAGCAATAAGCACAGTGAGCATGGGGGAGATTCCATGAGTCTAAAGCAAATAGGATCAGGTAAGAATAGTAAGGAATGTGGATCAGCTTCAAACTACACGAAACATGGACATGGGTTTCAAATTGTTGGGTATAACTATACTCATGTGAAAGACTGCTTAGCTCGAGGATGTGAACTAAATGACAAGAGGTCTCCTGTCAAGATCCTATCATGTGATACTGCAGCGGATAAAAGAGTGGCTGAAAAGGTGACAGTAGTTGTGAAAACAATCCAGAGGTTAACAAGTGTTATGCGGCTTATAGAATCATTACACAGTTTTTACCCAGGGGTGAAAGTCATTGTTGTTGACGACCACTTTAACATCACTCTTCCTTCTCCTGAACAAGTAAAAAGCATGCACCGACTTTGGCGGGAATTTATGGCCAAGTTTCATGGTTTAGTGAAGTATATCAAACTACCTGGAAATGCTGGACTTGCCAAAGGCAGGAACACAGGCCTTAAAGATGTGAAATCTGAATACTTTCTTCTTCTTGATGACGATTTTATCATAACTAATCAAACAAACATCACAAAGATGGTAGATATTTTGGATAGAACTGATCTGACACTCGTAGCAGGCACTTTGGCAAATAACGGGCCTTTCATTTGTGTTTTAAGAATACATCCCAGTAGTACTGGATCTAGTTTACAACCATGTGAGTATATGAATATGGCATATGAAGAAGTGCCTTCCTTTCCATCCTGTTATGCAGTAGACTATGTTTTAAACCTTTTCCTTGCCAGGACTAAAAACATTCGTGAGATTGGAGGTTGGAATAATAACCTATTGGTAAATGAACACAGAGATTTCATGTTTCGTCTAAGAAAAGCTGGTTATAAGATTGCGGTGTGCACTGATATAGAATTACAGCATAAACGAATTAAATCTATAAAATACGACTTGGGTTACAGGAAAGTGGCGCTACATAAGTATAGTGCAATTTTTCAAAAGGAATGGAACATCAGTGAGCCGATTTCTTACACCGAACCGCGACTGTACTATAACTATATATGCAATCATTAATTCAGTCTAAGTTATTACAGGATTTGGAAATGTTTTTTCAATAACTTCACATATCACTTTTGATGTGAATGCATTAATTGCTATTCTTGCGTTTTGTATCAAGTTCTCTCTGAAGCTCAGGGTGATTTTGACCGACTGTTCTCGAAACTCGAAAGCGAGTGAAGAAACGGGAGCACCCTATTTTTATATATCGCTGGGGTGACAGTGTATTATCTCACACATATGTTTCAACAAATTTATTTTGAAATTCTTCAATGATAATAATAAACGTATTATAAAGAAAGCGTTTTTTTGTCTATTAATTAATTACGTTAAAATGCTATTTTGTAGAAATTATAGCGTCAAAGACGCCAAAATCGTCTTTACTTCTAATTCTTTTACCTGGTTCAGACGTTTCAGGGTTTTCATGACATTGGAAGGTTATAATTGGAAACATGTATGTATGTACGTATAAATGTACGCTGGCAATGCTTTATTTAAATCTATTGCACACTTACGTGTTACCCGTCTAGAAAAACCCAACAAAAATCGTATGTGTCTTGTGGGGAAAAAACGCATCGAAATACTCACTTTTGTCTTTTATGATTCAATGAAATTTCACTTGACAGATTTGTCTCTAACATTAGAAAATAGAGGAGCTGACTCAGCTAAATTATTTTTTTCATTGAAATTTTTGTAAAGGGATATTGTCAATGTCGATTACTTCATATAGATCACAAACCCACTTTGGATGATTGGATATGCAAACCCACATTGGATGATTGGATATGCAAGCATATAGAACATGTTTATGTTCTTACAAGTTACGTTAAATACTGACGCATTTTCAAGACTAGATTGGCATTTACCTCGACTGCAACAGTATTTTACAGTGCTTAGCTGAAAGTGAAGTCGTGCTAGAAATGTAAACAGACGGATTAAACTTTAAAGTATGCACTTGTCGAGTTGTACAAATTAGACGATTAATGAACATTATTTCGCGCTGGACTTTGTAGGACAAACTGTAGATGACTTAGTGATATCATTGAAATATGAATAACAACGCAGTTTGAATAAAGGAGCTGTTGCGGAAACTGTTTCGGAGAAAAAATCGTATGTAGTTAAGCTGTAGGAGATCGCAACATATTTCGGCGCTGAAGGCAGTATCGAAAGAGCACAAATTACATTAACTGCGTCCTTCAAGTTGTCACCGGCTTATGAATAACGCAGACCAGGAATTTTGTCATCATGAAGTCATGGAAAAGAACGAGAGTTCAGCATCTTGACAGAACGTTTAATCGAAGACATAACCAACCTTACCGCGAAAACAGAGTCAACGGTTTCGTAAAATATTCCATGTTTTTTTTCAACGTGTTATTTTGGCTTGTAGGAGGTACTCTAAGCGGAACATCCCTGTGGGCAATAAGTTTTAAAGTCGCCGAAAAGGTTGCCATTGCCACTGAATTAAACATGGACCCTTTTCTGGTTCCACTTATTGTGGGAGCATTTATGTTTACCATCTCCTTCTTCGGATGTGTGGGTTCTTTAAGGGAAAACGAATGCATGCTGAAGATGTTTGCATATTCTTTGGCAATCATTCTTGTCTTGGAAGCAGTTCTGTCGTTTGTTCTCGTATTTTATAAAGACGCTATATCAGAGCATGTAGAAAAAAGTCTCTGCATCGGGGTGAAACAGTATATGGACGACCCAGACTGGTCCTTGATACTGGATTCGGTGCAGAAAGACCTTCAATGCTGTGGAGTTAATGGGTTCGCTGACTGGGAAATCAATGAGTTAGTACATTTTTAATTAAGAATTTGTGCGTTCCACTTAAAAAAACATGCATGTACAGGAATTTGGGTGTATAATAATGTCACCACTACCTTTTATGTCTGAGATTTTGTTTCCGTTAATGCGTAGATGTCTATAAACAAAATTAATAACGAAATATTTCCTTTAAATGTTGTCTGTGTTTCAGAAATTATGTCATCACTATTTATCGAAAACTAATCGAATCATGCTCTAGGCAAGGGATTTTACTTGCACGGGGTGGGGGAAATCTTAAATCAAAATCTGTTCATTTTAATATAATAAGCCCCGAGTTTGTCGCAGCGGGTTCCTTTCAGCTGAAGAGTAGAGCTGCTGTTTGATACAATTTTACACACTAAACGGGGAGGGTAGTGCCTTGACAGGAATATACAAAACCATTCTTACGAGGCAAAAATGCCTAAAGGATATGGTTATGCATATTTTATAGATACATGTTTACCAAATCTCCTTTCATTAAATTCTGGGAACGAAGGTTTCGGTTTCATGGTCACATGTATTGATATTTTTACTCCCTAGCAAAATTATTGCCACCCCTAATGTAATGCGTAAAGTGATGCAGAAAATCATGTTATAAAATGTTTTCTATTCAACTTCTGAAAGGATTTTTAAACAGAATTTTACTGATTGTACAACCAATAAAAAAGCTAATCATAGTAAAAAATCAAAGCCACATTCAAGTGTTTTGTACAGTATCTTCATAATTGGAGCATGCACCCGCCGCGTCTGTGAGTGAAGTAAAAAAGTTTTGTTACGTTTGCGGAGTGATGGCGTTCCACATACGGTGCAAAGAAAGTATGAGATAATTATTGTTTGTAGGGCTATCCCTCAGTTATCCATTTCGGGGATATCCCACTCGTTCTCACTGAGGTTCTGATCTAGGGATTCGGCAACCCTGCCAAAATAACGCCGACTGTGCAGACGTCTTCTGACGACAACTTTAAAATATGGTTTGTCCTATTCTTGGTAAAGATTGCAGTCAAGTTCCTAAATGTCATGAAACGTTTTCTGCAAGGAAGGCGTGTTATCATTCTCTCTTCTCTGGGTGTTCCTTCGATTGGTCTTTCCCAGGCAATCTTACCCGTGTGCCTGTTTGGTTATGACGTTGACTAACCCTGTGTGTGGCTCTCATGGAACAAAACAAAAACAACCTTCTGTGTTTCCCTCTCATTTAGGAGCCGCACATTAAAAATAAAATTGGTGTGGGGGCTTTTCAGTGGCCATGCTAGGTACATGTAGGTTAATATTTTATTACTCACATCTCCAATGTGTACGATGATCTAAAATTAAATCTATGGGTACCCCTGTAGCAATGTACCCAAATGTGGTAGGGGTGACACTTTTTTTTTACCAGGGGCGTATACTTACAAATTACAGCTAGATTCTGCTTTATGTTTTCATATCACAAACGGGTATGTAAACCAAACGATATAAGTACAAAGTCAGCCTTCGAGTCGCAAACATAATCTGCATTTATAACGTTGAGACTCACTAATAAAAATACTTCATAGTGCTAATCCAGTTATCTTTTCACAGGTACTTCAATTGCACTTCTCCTGGCATATTTGCATGCAGTGTCCCGCATAGTTGCTGCCGTGCCCAGACCACAGAGCTGCCAAACTATTTATGTGGCGTGATGACCAAGAACAAACTGGTTCGCAATCTTACCATGATTTTGACGGAGGGGTGCATGGTTAAGATTGACGAATTGATAAACGAAAATTCCTGGATTGTTATTGGTGTTACTATAGGACTCGTGTCTATACAAGTCTTAGCAATTGTATTTGCAAGGAAAATTATTTGCCATATTGAAATGGTAAAAGCTAACTGGTGAAACCGAAAGTGTGTGGTATAATTATTTATTTAAACTTTTCACAATACTTTATACAATAAACAATTGTACAAGAATGCATAATTTACCTTATATTCAGGATATGCTAATTCATTAAGCTACATTTCTATTCTTGATACACTAGACTCAAAGGTGAGAACGACGGCTTTCTGCTTTTGCGTCATGCTCAAGGAGTTACAATTTCACGCTCTAGCTTCTACGCCTGTCTATTTATGTGCAAATGTGGCTTTGGAACATTAGCGAGTTAACTTAAGTTTAAAGACGATGCATAAGAGAGGAAAATAATCGTACAAATTTGTTAAAAGTATTTGTGCAATACGTTGATGGCCGTCTATCAAAAGTATCACCTGTTTGACAGAAAACTTCAGCTTGAAAACAACGTCACACTTTTCTCATAAAACTATTGGTCCTTTCAAGCATTTACAATTCTATTATATTTCACAGCCCAAATAATATGCCAGAATCTCTAGAATGCCGTTATATTTGAAACCATATCAATTACAGGGGTATCTATCGAAGAGACATTTTATTAGTTTTCGAGAATATTTCCTTAATCTAAATGAAAGACAGTCTGCTGAATTCCAGGAATATGAGTACAGTCTGTCATCTTTTTCTACATCTTCCATAAGGATCATACAGGGTCAGGTGTACTATTCTCATCTGTTTAGGTGCTAAAGTAAAAAAAAGATAAATTCTTACCGTTACATATTTGAGTTTTTCAAACAAGCCGTTTTCTTTGTTTTATATTTTGCAATATTTTGGAAATGTAGTTAAGGGCGTATAGGGAACAATTATAAACCATAAGGTCATCATAGATGTTCACTTACACTCCAAAATAAAGGCGGGAATTTGTATTTTGTAAAACTAAAGGATATTAAAAAACAAATTCAAACCACAAAAATTGATGTTGCTTTAGTATTTCAGCTACTAGCCTATAGGTCCATCATTAAACAGCCAACGTGCAATATGACAACTTATACGACCGCATTAAAACATTTTCATATTTTAATATTATGTTAAAACATCTATTTATATACTTCAGGCTAATAATGAAAATAACGAAATAATGGAAAACTTCTGTAATCTATCATATCTGCCGCAAATACTGTCATGCTGCATACTTGAGGTCTTTCATTTAACACAACTGATGTAACGGACATAAACTGTCTCAACAAACACACCGACTTAAAGCGTTCACAAAACGGCTTTTAGCAAAGAAGTGCGAGTCGAACTATTTAGACAACGCATTCCAAATTTGACAAGAGGCCTTTCTATTCAATTTTCTGAGCCAAAGGTGAATAGGCCCTACTTGTAGGTCTCAACAAAACGATGTACATGGATGCTAAATACCATGAAAGAAAGACTATATAGCTAGATGGTATATTGCACATCTGCCTTTTTCATTTTCTAATACAATATAATTTTCACAATATGAATATGCTCGCCCCCCCCCTCCCCCCAAATTAGCATACATACTTTATCAAGCTCTCGCTCTCCCTCTCTCTCTCTCTCTCTCTGAAGCGCACATTCAAGTGAAATATCGATTACATTTCAGACAATTTCATTTCAATCTTTATTAATGCTTTTCTTTCGTGGCAGTACTCCTATGTGAACGGAAGTCGGTAGTCCTTTTACACAAGTCCGACTGGACTGGTAATATTAAAAGGATAACAACTGTTCATTTTGGCCAAAAATGGATTTTCCTGGGGTAAAGGACTATCTTTCCATACTAACCAAAGGTGAATGAATCCATTCCCACATTCAAAGTTAGTTCCCGTTTTTTTTTCTAAAAAAGTTTTTTTTTTTTAATATTCTCTTAAGAGATTTTTACAGAGTGTAGCCAACTATGGAGTTCACGTGAACGACGGCAAGAACAAAATCCATAATAATTGCGTTAGCTGCCATTTGGGTGGTAAAATAGAATTTATTATATTTGTATCAGTTGTTTCATCGTCTCCAGTCCCATCCAAGGCATGGGACTCCCTACCGGACGACGGTGCCCTACTAGGTGCAGAGCACCCCTTCACGTCGTTCATTCGTTTCGGATTTGTGTGTTTAGTCATGATATGCAAAGCAGAAATACTTACGGTAGGTTGCCATTACTTTCCACAAGCGCAGTGCCCGTCACACGGGCGGAGGTCTCAGCCATTGTACCCTTGGTGCTATCCTCTGCCTGACACCGCGAGAAAGTCGACCAGTTCTGAAGTCCTTCCGGCTGCCCTGCATCCGTCACCTGCTGCCATGACGGTCCTTGGTGGATTGTCTATCAAAGGCTATCGAACACCACCTTCCCGGGTTTGAAATCAGGGTTTGCCTCCCCTAGATGAGCTGCTCTCCCAAGCTGACGAGCCTCATCTGCCCGATATCAGTTGTTTACACTGTATTTATTGTGAAATATGGATATCTACGAACGGTATTTAATGCAAGTCCTAGGTCTCGCGTTTTTAGGGATGGATGTCCTAGGAATATACGTTACTAGGATTTAACGTCCATGTGACAACAGATACCAAAGAATGCCCACGGCTGAGAATGTAATTCCGGATTGGGCCTGTTTTTCTGATTTATACTAGGAACATATGTCCTAATGACTTTCTTTCTCTGACATAAAAATTGATATAAATAGGAAATTGTAAATAAAATTGCATGTTTCAATTAATACTTATATATTTTTTCCAATTAATTGAACGGATTAAAATATTGTAGAGAAGAAGACTTCACATACATTTTTTTCACTAGTCAAAAAATCAATTTAGGTATCTGATTGCCGATAAATGTGAGCAGAAAAGTATACGATTTCCCATCAAGTTCAATAGTAATTTTAACTGTATCTCTTCTAACTAGTTTTTTTTCACACAGTGAATGTTAGATTTTCTGACAATGAACGTTTCAGGATAAATACATAACTACTACTCTCTAACTTGATATGCATGAAGTACCGAAGTAATGTACGTCCAATGCCAAAGCAGCATTTTTCTCCATTTAAGATATGATTTTAATATCTTACTAAAATGAAAATCGAGACCAGTTTAGATGTGCATTTTGTATTTTCTAACAGTAACTACCGGTATTCTATTTTTTTTTTTAAATAAAAAATGTGAATACTTTCATCATCATTACTTAATCTTAATGTACATTTTTTATGAATTCTTTCTTTTTTCACAAATGTAATGCAATATCATTACAATTATTAAGGCCACACATGGTAGGATTTAGAACGCTTTCCCAGTGCATGGATCGCGTCTTTTTTTTTTTTAACTTATCTGAAAATTAATATACAGATATGAAACAAATGGTATTAGTTGAAACATGGTCTTTATCGTGACTTTCAAGAACCTGGCTTATTCGTAATTCTTTTAATGCAGAAAATTCTCATTACTTTCAAAATATAAAAATAAACCACATCTACTGAAAATCAATTATCCCACGCAGTCTGTCATCTATGCATAAGTTGGGTTCAAATTTGTTTGAAGACTTTGGATTTTGATGTTTTTTTAATGAATTAGCAACTTTCAACTTTAATCAAAAAGCAGATATCACCATTAAAAGAACTAACTGGTGTACCAAATTTCCTGAATTACAGCATGCAAACATTTCTTGAGGTTGTTATATAACAAGTTTTTTTACAAATTGATATTGTTTGCATCAATATTATAACAAAAATATAGTTTAGATGAAAATAATTTCGAGTTTTAAGCCTGAAAGTATATTTTATGATTTGACTAAAAAACTTGTTTGGCTAAAAAAATTGATTTGGCTAGAACAAAACTGAAATTTGGTCAAAACAAAAATATTACTGTTGCTATGCCAGGGACCAAAATGTTGACTTCCCTCAATTCTTTACAAACCTCAAGGAATTAAAATTTAAAAAATAGGTCTCAAACATTTCTCATATTAAAGAAATTTCTATCATGAACAATGGAAACAAAATCAGCATAGGGGAGTAAACATTTTAACATCCATGAGCATACTCCCCTAGACATATTAACATATCAATAGTGACTAGTCTAGAGGCGTTGTGTACACTCATTTCGGTTTATTGTATATGTTCACATATATCTGTCAAACTGTACATTTTTCTCAGTATATGCTGGTGCAGTAAAAACAGATATATAAATTTATTTGCACTTTGAACCATCAAGTTAAAAATTTTTATCAGGGAAAAAGTCTAAAAAACAAGAAGAGCATGTCCATTTTCAAAAATGATGAAATATATTTTTTTTTTGGCAAGTGAATAATCCTAGTGAGCTTGAAACAAAAACAGCAACATTTGGGAAAAAACAAGAAATGAATATGGCTTTGACATCTGCTCTGGAAACACAGACAGACTCAGGTGATGGCAACATGTATACATCCTGGAAAGCATACCTGGTACTATCCATTCCATCTCTTCCAATTTTTTCCTGTATGTAGTCTTTAATCCTATATAGAGCAGCATTTCTGCAGAGTTCTCGCAGCTTTTACTTAAACACGTAAACAACATTCAGTTTTCTTTTTCAATTTTGTCAATTTTGTGTAGTTGACAACGCAGCAGATCAACATGGTTGGATATTAGAGATTTTGTGGTATTTACATTTACAATCATAATTTAGCTTTCAGCATACATAAATATGACAGAAACTCAGGAAGACAATTTTTTGGGAACAATACTTATTACAGCATCATGTAAGAAAAAGACATTTACCAGTTGATCTTAATCTAAGTGAAAGTTTGTCTGTTGGAATCCATGAATATGAGTGCAGTTTGTCATCTTTTCCAGTGATTTTTCTATATCTGCCATACTGATCCTACGAAGACTAGGTGAACCGTTTTCATCTGGGAAGGTGCTAAAATAAAAAAATTCTAACTTTGTGGTTACAGTTACACAAGTAAGTTTTTCAAAGTTTTTCTCTTTTATATATTTTGAAATATTATGTTATATTTATAATCTAGGATCTAAGGAGGCCAACTACAAACACTCAAGTCTGACAACGTACAGACCTAAATATTTCAAAAGTAAGACAAGCACAAGTATCTTGATAAGTCAAAGTATAAAACAATCCAAATTCAATCCACAGAAAAATGATGCTGCTGTCGAGCTACGAGCCTATCATAAAATTACCAACATGTGCAGCATCCTTTATCCTGGAAAGCATACCTGGTACTGTCCATTCCGTCTCGTCTAATTTCTTCCTGTATGTATTCTTTAATCCTGTATAGAGCAGCATTCCTGCAGAGTTCTCGTAGGTCACTTCCAGAGAAGCCATTGGTAAGCTTGGCAACTTCAGTAAGGTCTACACTAGAGTCCAACTGAAACAAGAAGTAAACATATACAACATTCTTGAAATAAAAAAAAATCTCTCTCCATTTTATTATCATTTAGGGTGGGTAAATGAATCTATCATATCAGCTAGTGTTCACCAACTCCACTGGACTCGAGATGAATGAAGTCAGATTAAAATGCCTTCTCTTGTTTCCAATGTACTTGTATTATCACCAGCTCTTTTGCAATCTACTCAACGCCTGCATTTAGTGATGATACAAATGTACGAATAAATGGATGAACTGACAGACAGGCAGGCAGGCAGGATAACACGATCCCCAACTTTTGTCACCAAAGTACAGGCATAAAAATGTACATGCATATGCTAGCAGAAATACCAGAGGCCTTAAAAACAAGGGAATCCACAGGTAATGTTTTATACACCTACCTCTTCATCTGCCAATATGATTTCCAGAATATGCTTCCTCTGGTTTTGACCCTTAAACAAAACATACACCTAATAACATTTTCATTAAAGTGGGACTTCAAATAAAACATTCATTTCAATTATTAAAGCTCATACTGTCATTATGAGTGTAGAAAATAGATATAACATTTTATCATGCATATTGATAATATATTACATACAGGTTTTGCAATATGAAACATGCTGGGCATTCTCCTCAATATTGCAGGATCTACGTCCGAGGCTCTGTTTGTGGCACCAATAATCATCACCCTACAGTTAGGGTCTGTCACCAAGCCATCCCATAATGTCATAAACTGGGTTTTCATTAGAGCTGTAGCTTCATGATCACTCGAGTTTCTTGACCTCAGAAATGCATCTGAAATTTTAAAATGGGCTTACAATGGTTCAAAATTGATATTTTACCTTATTAACAATGGTTCATTAACAAGCTGTCATTTGCAAGGATTAACAGATTAAAATTGGCATCAAAAGAAGGCCTATGCTTTCCAGACCACTAGATGACACAATTTTTGGGAAATTTTTGGTTCATTGGAATGACCTGAAGATGGCCTAGAAAACTACCAGAAAGTAATTTGATATACTAAAAACTACTAGAGCACTGTTACAGTATTATACATAAAATCACATATTTCTGCTTTTTTAGATACTAGACAAGCATACCTATTTCATCAATGAAAATGATGGTTGGTTGAATCTTGACGGCCTGAAAAACAAATGATAAACACAAAAACATGAATAAATTTAAATATTGAATATTTCAGACTTGTACTATTTTCACAATATTTCTGTAAAATGCATAAATTCTTAGATTTCAAATGATTAACAAACCAACAAAAATTTCCTTTATAGTTGGAAATTTGGGGAATTAAAAAGAATCAATGCTCACACAAATCTTTGTTATGTACATTCAGACCATGCTCAAATTACCAGAGAAAACACTGCTTCTGCACGCTTCTGTGATTCTCCATACCATTTATCAAGCAGAGATGTGATCTGGAGGTTTATGAATCTTGCACCTGGGAAGTTTAAAGAGTAATCCCTAAATGAAACACACTTACATGATATATATAATTAATTCTGTATATCATTACAGGTACACACACACACACACACACCACACACACACACACACACACACACACACACACTGCGCATGGCTTATTCCAATATTTTAAATAGTATATACTTTTCTTAATTTAAATTAATCATCATGAAAAAGTATGTTTGAATATTTCTAATAAGGGTTAAATTTTCATTTGGATAATAAGTTGAATAATTACAACAGTCAGAAACATACAATTTCCATCACACTTTCATAGTCAGGATTTTTTGTTCAAAATCAATAATCTCTTGAATAAACTAAACCTCCTTGGGATCACAGACTATTATTAGAACCAAGGCCTGCATCACTGAAAAAGAAGTATTGAGTTTGCATGCATAGCTGACCTCAAGAATCGATGCAGCTTGAGATTTTTTATAGTTTGATGGCATGGTGACATTTATTGGAAGAGATATGGAAGTCCTGTGCTCTGATCTTGTTTTTTAATTGAATAATTCTGTATATCATTATAGGTCCATGCTTGGAGACATATTGTTTTTCTTAGAAATATCAATTTCTACGTGCAGTGTAAAAAAGCAGATGAACTGGGTCAATGGGTTCTCTTCATAAAAAAATACCTAGAAGCAACTACTAAGAAGACTGTTTTCACTAGACAAAACCCCGACTCAGAAAACATCTTCTTAAAAGTGTGTTGACAGATAAAACCAGTTTAGCTAAAAAAAATTTATTTACATCACACAGGATTTAAAAACAGTAAGCTGTAAGTATACTACTTTTTGGAAAAACTTACCAGGTCCCAAATAGAAGTTGTTCGTCAGTTCAATATGTGCGTTATACAATGAATGAAAGGCAAAGGTCTTCATGTATGTAAATTTTTCGTGAAATGTGTTGAAAATGGTACAAAAAAAAGGCAGCAAAGCTGTTAAATGTACAGCCGACAAGAAAGAAAAATAATCCAATCAAGCTGGTTTGCCAATTTGAGTTGTATGTAAGGGTTTTCATTTCATTTGTATAATGGTGAATAAAATATGCAAAAAATAGTGAAAAAAAAAAAACAGCATTACTTTTTGAAAAATCATCTGATCAGGCTGATTTTTGAACTTGACTTGTATTTTTTTTAATATTCATCAGTTCTATAAGTTTGAATACAAAAGGTAAAAAGGTTTTCATGTTATTTGTACAGACACATCTGTGTCCATATATATAACCAGCTGAATTCTAAAAATAATTCATCCAAATAATTCAATGAAGAAAAGAAAATAGAGAGAAAAGTTACCTTTAAGTGCTTATGCATGCCAACACCACTGGTTTCAAATCCCTATATATACAAGTTTATTGAACTGTGATAAAAGGCGCATTCAGATTCACACATCGTACTTGCTGGGTTGGTCCAACTCTCCATTCCTGCTTAAGTGCAATCAGTGGAACCATCTTAATCAGCACCCAATAGTTAATTACCCTCCCTCCAAGCTGCTTCAGGAGGGGTGTCAGACAATTAAGCTGATCCCAATGATTGCACTTTAGCAAGAATCCCTTGCAGAGTTGAACCGACCCAGCTAGTACGATGCTTGAATCTGAATGCAATGCTTGTGACAAATATTAAAACCTTTGCACCATGAAATTGCGGTTCATGTCTTTATTTGGTGTTGGCGATCACTAACTCACCGCTCGAAATCACAATGAGCAATTATGTTTCTAAGGCCTGAGATTATAGTATACATGTACCTCTTACCTACAAGTAGACATGCTCTACATTTACAAGTCAGTCACTGTTCAAGATAAATTAGTACTAATACTAGTATTGTTGATTCTACCTGCTTCTTTAGCCATTGCTTTGGCAACCATAGTCTTCCCACATCCTGGAGGCCCGTACAGCAGCACACCTAAATTACACCAATGAAAAAAGGAAAAACATTTACATTTATTATTACTCCATGTTCATGACCAACAAGGTTCTATATACAAGAAGGGTTGCAAGGCCCTTTAGTCGTCCCCCTCCTCATACCTCGAGTGAAAAAAAGCATGGTTACAGCCTTACTATTATTATAATTAAAAAAAGGTTATATGTTATACAGTAGGAGTCAGATGGCTTCATATTATCAAAAAAAAAAAATAATAATAATAATAAAAATGTACATTCACAGAACATGTGTTAGAAAGAAGGGCTGCGTGGAGAAGGATTGACTTATCATCAATGTTTTAACATATTAAAATATGCCTGTAGAATGCTGCATCACAAAACTGGACATATGATTAAATAATTCATATTTTCTATACTACATGTACATAATATTCTTGTGTCATACATCTTTTTCTAGTTTACAATTAGTATTTAGAGAAGACCATTACAAAAAATTATGATATGACTAATTGCCATTATTCCTTTGTATCTTAAATGTAACTGAAAATTCTTTTGTGTTCTTATTTTAGATATAATATACTGGTGCTGTTTTTATTTTCAGTGTACACAAAGCTGTTTAGCATGTCCAACATCAATTATCATCTGCTGGTCCCAAGCATAGGACAAAGACACATTTCCGCAGTTAATATGCCTCCTTCCTCTCCCAGTTAACACTGACTAATGTATTCAAGAGAAATTTTAAGTAAATTTCAGCTCAAGCCCCAGAAGAAAAAGAACTTGTCAGTGACCAGTTGAAGGAAAGTCTTAAGATATTCTACAAATTCATTTTCAACTTAATACCCACACTACCCTTTGTCCTTAATTAAACTGTAAAACTCCTGCTATACTTTTGGGTCATTTGGTGCAACATCAGCAGAAACAAAGAAAAGTATGGATTTTAAACCTATGGTATAAATATACCAGTTGTGGCAAATGAACGAGAGGGATATTTAATTGATTCCAGATATTGACACAACAGAACATTAATGTGATGACACGCATCACATTAAGGGGTTACTGATTCTTTTCCAGCTTATCATAGCTGATGACTGAACAAAGAATTCCAACTTGTTTCAAGATCTTATGAAACTTGTATATCCTACATTTCCAGTGACCTGACAGGAGTAGTACCAACCCATCTAGACTGGTCATACATTACAATTATTAATTTAAAGGCAAATAATTAATTAATTTCAAATACTTTTTTCAAAAGATATACAAGTTTAAAGTAGAGAAAAAAAAAACAATACAAAGCTCACCCTTTGGAGCTCTCAGTAAACTAGACCCCATCACCAAATCATGTCTCTTGAAAGGGAAAATCACTGTTTCTCTAATATCTTCTTTTACTTCTTGAAGACCACCAATATCTGTCCAGTCCATCTCAATGCTGCACAAATCCACAAGGTTGGCAGCCACACATAATTCATAATCTGTTAACTTCTGAAAATGTAATTAAACAGTGAATCAGTATGAAATAAAAATAAAAGATGTGCACAATTCATGAAATGATTTAAAGATTTTACTCTTAAAGTTTTAAAGATTCTGCTCTGTGTACATTACTTTTTGTAACCATAAACCATGCACGTTTAAGTTGATAAGGGCCATTCCGTGGTATTTTTTTGCTGTTACGGAAGGACATTTGACACTTCAAATGAAAATATTTTCAAAAGTAAAAAAGTTACAAGGTCCATTTTTTGTATGTTTATTCTTCTATATGTAAGTTATTATTAGGCAAAAAATTAGGTTTAAAAAAATTATAGTTATGAAAAAATTGTAATAAATAGTTAGCATCTCGGAAGGACGTGAAATGGACATGGAATTTTAACTTTCAACTTCAACACTAAAATTCTGCTCTGTCTGTGTATATATTTTTAAAGTCAAATCAAAATATGAATATTTGATTATTTCACTTTCTCAGTGTATAAAAATGTTTTTGGAAAAAAAATAATAAATTTGAAAATTTTGCATATAAAAAAATTGAGTAGGCGTCATGGAAGGATGCATCTCGGAAGGACGTTTTGTCCATTGCTAAATAAAATGTAAAATAAGGCCAATAAAAATATTTTATGAATACATACCAGCATAAGTTTGATGAATAATATCAAAGGTAAACATTTCCTTCTATGGTAATGTATTTCATCTTCAAACATGTTACTAATTTTGACTATAATATAAGTTCTCATCTGCTCTGATCATCTTTAAATAATATTGAGACATTTTTAGAGAAAATCTTACCTAATCTATTAATTATAAATATAAACAATTGTCTAAATTATAATAACTTCAAAATTATTCATTCAAATGAAATGTTTCTCAGTTTAAAAATGCTTATATATATAATAATTGTGAATTTTAAGTTCAAGGTTATCTTGAAAGACATAAAGGTTTAGGGCTCATTGGTCACATGACCTGTTATGGTCCAATCAAAATGCCTCATACGTGCTTCCACTGTGCTAGGTGTCATGTTTAATGCTAATATATTTGGATTTAATTTCTTATTGAAGTGGTTCTAAGCAAAAATGTTTTCATATTTTGTTGGCCCCTATCATGGTTGAGGAGAATATGAAGTTATAAGTTTTTAGCTTTTGTAGTTACTGAGAAAAGTTAAAAAATAGGTACCAAAATCATCTTGGAAGGACAAATTGATATTAATTAATCCATTATTTTATAATCAAATATTTTTTAATCTAATGCACTTGACTAAATGTAAGAAATAAGTTATATTTAATGGATTTATCCTTTATTGTTTAAAATGATCTCTATTATGAAAAATATATCAAAAATAAAAATGTCCTTCCGTGACACTATTTTATAAGTTTTCCAGATAGAAGTGTCAATAAAATCATAATTAATCATCAGAATCTAAAATTTCTTTTGGATTCTGGTGTCTTATGGTGTCTGGTTTCAGAAATTATAAGTTTTATAAGTAGGATTCCTTTCTCAAATTTTGACGTCTGCGGACCAAATACCACGGAATGGCCCATAAATTATGAGATGCCAGTTCTTTTCAGCTTCATGTAGGATTTATGACTCAGTAGTTCACTTAAATAAATCCCCCGCACCACCCCCCATAAGCTTTTAAGGCGTATGCCTTGAGGATTTTACAACCAAAAATTCAATTCAAAGTTCCATCTTAAATAACAATAATTATCTTCACAAAACCCTTAACTGTCACAGGAGGGGTTTTTGTCATTTAAACATAAAATAATACCTTTTGAACATGCGCTTTAAACTGGATGGATAAAATGAGCATGATACTTTTTATGTCATAAAATCTTAAATTTCAAATTTCCCTTCAGAAGTGCAAATTTAGAAAACTCTTTTACTTTGCACCAAAATGGTTTTTGTTAAATTATCATTTTAAAATCAATTCTGTTTTTTTTTCATGCATAGCACAGTTCTAAAATTGACCCAACTGATGCAAAGCACTTGTGACCACTAAAAGTGCACATTAACTTAGTTATTCTATGGACACTAACTAATTCAAAGGCACAAAGCCAACTTACCACTGTTTCCTTCACTCCAATTTTCTTCATAAGATCTTTTGCCTGGTAACAAATTTAATTATGTGACAATTCAATGATCAATGACAATAACTGTAAATGACAGTTACAATTGTAAAGATTTTTATGCAAGTACCCTTGACCTCTTTTTTTCCAAGTGACCATTACAACACATTTTACTTTTAAGTACAATGGCATGAACATGTATTTAAAATAACAAATCACACCTTCACAAGTTGTAGAAAGATATTTGTTAGTATCCAAATTTAGGACTGGCAGTCTGAACATCAAAATTAAAGCATTAACCAAGGTCTTAGACCCCATTCCCACAGATTTTAGATCGATCTTTCCCTGTGAGGAGTCTTAGTAGATTACTGTCAGCTTAGCCGACTTAAGCGTCTGTCCCGCCTACTAAAAGATGTAAGGGGGTAATTAACTGTCGTGCACGCTCGGCTGACTGCAATTTAGCGTGAACCTGCAGGGAGTTAGGTCGATCTAAATCTAAATCTCTGGATCAATCTTAATCTCTGGGAATGCACCCTTAGTTGGCTTGAAAAGTGGGCCATCAAAGACTATTGAAAACAAGGCCAAAACTAAACCAATCGAGCTAATTTTTGTAATTGATCTGTATATTAGTCCTATGAATCAGTCCTGCAAGTTTTAAAGCAAAACATGAAAAGATATTCTTTTGATATGTATAAGGGTGCCCGGTGGAAAAAATATGCCCAAAAAGCAAAAAACAGCATAATTTTTGGAAAAAATGGTCTGATCAAGCTGATTTCTGAAACTCCATGTGTATTTTAGGAATTTCCATCAGTTCTGTACTAGAAAGTTTGAAAAAAAAAAGATCAATTGTTATAACACTGAACGTGCATGGAGATGATGACGACAACAGACACAGGTGACAGCTATAGGTACAGACACATTTGTGTCTGGAGATAAAAAGCTTTGAAAAGAATAAAAGTTAAAAACTGAACCATAATTTATGTACTATTAGAACTGCATATTAATATAGTGCCCAAGTAATGCGCTCAACAATCTATAGTACATACAAAACATAAAACACATTTTGCAACTTACATTGCAGTGCTAGCAACAAGTACTTTTATATTTGTGACATAAAATGGGGTTTGAGTTAATTCAGAATTCCTGATCACAAAATCAGCTGGAGATTACAAGCTGCTATTTTGTTTTTAAAGCCTGAAAATCATTAACTTTACACCTTTGTTAAACTCACAAAGATGATAGATAAGGAAATATTGAGATTTTCTGGCACAGAGCCAAGAGTACTGATGTACAATTTCTAGGTCAGGTGCTTGTAGACAAATCAAAACAAGTTAGTTTAATTATTTCAGTCCCTCAATTTTTATCTTGTTTCTAAGTAAAAAAAAAGTGGTTGGTGTTTAAACATTCATTTTTTTTGTACAAATAACTTGAAAACTATCATACAAGCTAGGAGAGTAAGGCTGCCTTCACATGAAAAATCTATTTTCTAAAAATCTATTTGCAGTATCTTGTGATCACAGTCTGTGCCCTGAATACCCCACGGCGTAATTACGGGCAGTGGAAGCCAGTTACTTCCAAAGCTGTAAATAATTCTCGGCTGCGCTCGGAGGAGATTCTGACACCTTGACGCATGCGCAGTAGTATCTCTAAGCTGTGGAGTTTATCAGTTTAGTTGTGACAACTCAAGCATACAGACGCGTAATATGGCCAGTGGTAGTGCTTGTTGTTGCACAAAATCGACAATCACATTTTTCAAAGCAACTGCGACCACCATTTACTTTCTAACTTCCTGCTACGCATGCGTCAAGGTATGATAATCTCCTCCGAGCGCAGCTGAGAATTAATTACAGCTTTGGAAGTAACTCACTCGTGCTGCCAGTAATTACGCCGTGGGGTATTCAGGGCAAAGACCCTGATCACAAGATACCGCAAATAGATTTTTAGATTTTTAGAAAATTGATTTTTCATGTGAATGCAGCTTCAATTTTTAACCATTTCAATAATTGCATGGTCACAGACAGACACAGAATAACTTTCATAAGAATCATTGATGAAAACTAAGAAGAAAATTACATTGTTCCAATTAAGACAACCAAGGCTGTGTGGGTGGGGGCATCTTGATAGTCCAAAGGTTCATTAGTCCGAAAAATGGTAACATTTTCATCAGTTCTTTAATTGGTTCAAAGGTTCTAAAGTGAACATTCGGACCAATGAACCTTCAAACTATTGCTATGGCACCCTGTGGGTTACATCCTTATACCTCCCCACATCTCTACAGTACTCCCTCTTTGGTTTCTGATATCAGAATTTTAAAGAGCTGAATCACAGCTATTCCCAGATTTTAGATTGATCTATCCCTATGGGGAGTCTCACTAGATTACTGTCAGCTTAGCCTGTTTAAATGTCTGTCCCGCCTACTAAAAGCTGTAAAGGAGTAATTAACTCCTGTGTGTGCTCTGCTGACAGCAATTTAGCATGACCCCCCAGGGAGTTAGGTCGATCCAGATGGATCTATCTAAATCTGTGGGAATGCAGTCTTAAACTCCACCAAATGGCATTGTTTGCCCTCCAAAACACCGAACCCCACAACATGGGTGCATGGCTTCACATCCGAAGCCTGTTATTCTAAAAAAAAACGGGACCCCCAGTTCAAATAATCCTGGATCCGCTCCTGATAATGCGGGTAAGTAACGATATGGAAGGAAATAAAGAGATGACCCCGCTGCGTGGCTTTACAATTAACTTGCTATAGTATGTATACTCATGTATATAGTTTATCGATCATGACCACCATTGCAATCTGAACTTTTCTGTTTCATCATCCTTGTAATGACTTATTAAATCTTACTTTCTGGAGAGCCTTTTCCTTATCCGAACTTGTTGGATCTAATACGTTTTTCAACCATTTTACAGTAAAATATGTGGCGATCAGTGTCACAGAAACGCCAATTAGACTGTGTATTAATTTGGCAATAAGTTCGTGTCTCTGTAGTCCTTGGATGATTTTCACTTCTTCGGGATGTGCCAGCGCATATCCTGGTTCCCCGGCCTTGCTTATTAATAACCCTCGTGGTTTAAAATGTTCTATGAATGATAACAGTTTTGAGAGCAGTCCACCATCGGATGCGATAGCACTGGAAGACGCCATGTTGATGACGTAAATTTCAATATCCTGTAGGTTATAATGGAAAGTTATTAAGTTTCATTCTCTCTTAGCAACATAATTTATTAACTTTTTATTTAGCCACTTCATCATACTACTTTATTGCATTAAGTAATGCTCACTAAAGCTGTAGTCCACCTTGATCAAAGGTAGCACTGAATATATATTTCCAAGATTGACCTTCGATAAACTAGGCCTCTAAAAACTGGGTCAACTAAGAGTTAATCGGCTTTATTTGAAAAGAAAAACATCAAACAATCAAAATATATCCACTTAAACATTTTAACGTGATGGGGATATTTCATTCTTCAATTTCGAAATACATTTCTTCATTAGCTCGTTTTAAGATAAATTTTCAAGGAACTATTTCCTAGCACGTGCTTTGTGTATCCATCCACCAGGAAGACGCCATCATGGATCCTGTGGGTTTCGTACCTTGAGCAAGGACGCCAAAAAGACCAGTTCTTCACTTACAAATAAGAAATAATCCACATTTAACTTTAGGAGAATGCTTTATGGGCCAATGCTACTGCCAACAAGAAACCGTAGAAGAAGAGGCCGAATCGCTAACTAGCAACCCAGTTGAAAGCCGACAGGATCGTCGGCGAACTGAAAACTTCACCAACAAATCTGCAGATATGAGCACCAACATGGCAAATCGCATCAAGGGATTAGTGAGTAAGAAGAAGAGAAGATATCAGGACGATGGTTTCGACCTAGACTTAACGTGTATCCTTTGCTCTTTCATGTAAGCACGGTAAACTAACTGTTGTTAGTCGCTGTATTTACACCGTTTCATTTGTTGTCATGCTGACCTAATTGTGGTTTTTCTCGTATGCCAGAGAAGAGCCAAAGCCAATAGTGACAATCCACAGTTATATTAAAGTCCCATCAGGAAAGTAACAATAGTCAAATGCTATAAAATCATAATCACAATAGGAAATCCAAATTGTATGAACGGTGGTTTTGCAGGATTTTGTCTCTTGATCAGTTGTACTTGGCATGATGATTAGGATATGTCGTTACACCAACATCCTCAAATAATTGTCATAACATTATATGAAGCAAATAGGCATTTGCACCTTTGATGAAAAGTCCATTGCATTGTTCCCTAGAATATTATAAGCCCCAAGCACTTTGAAATAATTATTTTTATAATCACAATTGTGCTCAAGTGTGAAAGATATAGGTAAATTTAGTTGAAAATAATTTAAGTTCCTGAAAAGGTTGCATTTCTGAAGTTCTCATTTTTCTCCTTATCTGTAGCTTTGCATATTACTGAAAAGCCAACAAATGTTGCTGTTGATTGTGATAGATATTTAAATCTGTTCTCTTATTATCACAGTATCATTTGATTAATTGGTACTATCAAATCCCCATATACATCAATCAGGTTATGGATGACAGTTTCAATTTTGGACAGTTTTCAACTTGCAGTGTAGATTTCCACTATGGTTTTAGCACAGAACCACATTCAGATTCACACATTGCACTAGCTAAGTTGGTCTAACTCTGCGAGTGGATTGTTGCTAAAGTGCAATCAGTGGAATCAGCTAAATTTTGGAAACAGCTAATTCTGATATGCCTGCTCAGGCAACTAAAGGGTAATTAACTATTAGATGCAGATTAAGCAGATACTACTGATTGCATTTTACCAAAAATTTGCAGCAGAGTTGAGCTGACCCAGCTAGTATGACATTTGAAACTGAGTGTGTCTTTGGTAAATAAAAGAAAATCTGATTGAACTAGCATACTTATTAAATACCAAAAAAACCAGTTCTAGAACACTAAGTTAATATCAGAAAAAGTTGGCAGGAGTGTGAAGGACAGAAAATATTAGGCCAAAATGATGCTCATGGTAAAAATAGATAAAAAAATCAAGTTCTAGGATTGAGCTGAGTAGTGTTGCGAATTATGTACACAAGAACAAATTTTGTATTGCATAATTTTAGGAAAAAGATATGTTACATGAATGCATAGCCTTTCATTTATGACAAAAAATGTAGTGTAATTTGAAATTGTGAATGAGTAGGGTATGATACAGCTAAAGAAGAAAAGATTAAGTAGTTGTGTTTTTAATGGGGTTAGCCTTTGTATTTGGTGAAAGTTGAAGAGCTGCAGTTGTTTTACAGTTTATATGCTTCTAATAACTCATTGACAACAGGAGAGGTTGCAATGTTTATAAATATAGTATTAACCGTATTGTATGGTTTTAAGTAGATATATTAATAATGGTAATAATATTTATTTCTTAAAAAATGCACTACACTTCCATCTCTGTGCTGTTTACTAATAAAATTATCAGAATTATAAGTAATAATATAAATAATAAAAGCTGAGGTGATTAAAACAATTAAAATGATTAATACTGGTTATAATAGTTATAGTCTAAACAATAAAACATTTTCTGATAAAATGAGAAAATATAAAATTTCAAGTATTAAATTTTAATTGAAGTACTGTGCAAATAAGGAGGTTTTCAAGTCTTTTTTTTTAACCCTCAACACTATCAGTAGTCCGAATGTGTGAGGGGTAGTTCATTCCATAAAATGGGTGCTGCAATTGAAAATGCCCTGTGGCCATAGGTTTTAGTTGTTTTTTGTTGTCATTCCTTATTTTATTCTTTTGTACTTTCAGGTTGCTTTTTTATTGCCTATTGATCAGTTCAAATAATGAAAATGATTAACTGAAATCTATAGTGCATAAGGAATTTAGAACCTCAGGTCATGGGACATTTGACCCCTTTGAACTCGGTTTTAGTATCATTTCATAAGCCTTGCATATGCTGATTATCATGATTATCAGGATGATAACTAGATAGATAACCAATTAGTTATTGTACACATGACCCAAGTATCATGACAAAGAAAAGGCAGGACTATCACATTTTGTCATTTTTATGAATTTGAAATGTATGGATGTGTCTTTATTTGTGATTAATAGTTATGAATGTGTCTAGCAAAGTCTCAGTTCACATACTTAATCCTTTTATCTATAAGAGCTTTTGTATCCTATTGTCTTAATCTGCATTTTACTTTTAATTGATTATTTGTAAAACCCAGAGAATTTCAGAATTTCACTACCTAGAAAATGGTTATGTTTATTAATAAGGTTTCTTAGTCATATAAAGGGACTTCTTTGTCATTGCAATAACCTAAATATGAAGGCCATTTTTTCAATTAAGACAGTGTTGTAGTGTTAGACCGCATTCACATCGAGTTGAGCCATGGCTCTACAAAGCCATGAATTAAATATGGCGGATGTACATGAAAGGAAAACCGCCTAATCTTTTAATAGTCTCTTCGCCTCTCATACGCCTCCCCATGTGTCGTCCCAATGGAACCAAGATTTAATGGCTGTACCCCCGCAGGGACGACAAGTGGGGAGGCATGTGAGAGGCGGAGAGACTATTAAAAGATTAGACAGTTTTTCTTTCATGTACGTCCGCCATATTTAGTTCATGGATTTGTAGAGCCATGGCTCAACTCGTTGTGAACGCGGTCTTAGAATCTTATTCATGAGCGTTTTACTGGCAGGTACTGTCAGTATTTTTATTTGTTGAAACATCGGCTCTACCATATCCCAGTTTCTAACATGACATATGATGGGTGGATAGAAAAATTGCATCAATCCTCAGATTTAATATTTAAGAAGTATCAGTTATATGATTCAACTAAATGGTCCTTAGTACAGTTTTATTTTCGTAAGAATTACCAATTATGTGATTCAACAAAATTATCCTTTGTTGTACCACATAGTATTGCCTTCTTCTGTAAGAGACACATGGCATTCAGTACAAAATAAATAGCCCAAAATGGCAAATAGGCAATTGCTGTAAATATAAGCATTTTGCAGTTTCTTGAATTTGGGCTTCTTTCTAACTCGTACAAATGCTCTTGAGTAATTGCACTTTAATGAAAGTGTGGCAATATTCAATTTCTTCCAGATCATTTTAACAACTTTTTGAACAAGTTGTGTCTGAATTTATAAGCAATCTTGAGCAGATTTATTATATACAGTTTGCAATCAAAATTCAAAGCAGTGGGGGCATCTGTCTGAGAGGTTGTTGTTGGAGTATCAATATAGGTAGATAAAATTCACAGTGTTTTGAAAATTTGGGATAATATATTTCTGGTAGTAGTTGAGACATTTATCCTGATATGAAAAAAGTAGAGAGCAACTTGCAGAAAAGATCAATTAATCAGCTTTTCTAAAAATGCCAAACCTAAAAATGCAAAGCTGGAATTAAACACTTTCACCAATAATTTCTAAGAGATTACTGGTGAAAGTGTTTCATTCCAGCTTTGCATTTTAGGTTTGTGAAGACATTAATACTCTGGGTATAAGCATTTACTATATGGACAATCTCAGTTTCCTGAGGAGACATCTCAAAGGCTCTCTTAGTGAGCAGAATATGATTATTAACACTTCTTAAGCATGCATTTACTGGCAAACCTAAAAGGTGAGCTGAGGGCAGCTTAACTGTGTTGCACTAAGTGGACCCTTTAAACATGCAATCAAATAGATACTGACCTGTAGATTGCAAGTTGCAAGCAGACTTCACAAATTATATGTGACAGTGTTTGAGACTAGGTTGACTACCCTGATTAGTTCAGTTGAGTGTTTGGTGCTGCCTTCCTCCATCAAACCCAGACGGAAATTTATTAGCTGCTGTTCAAATATCTGAGCAAGTAGCATACAAGTCCACTTTGCATTTAATCAGACAGAAGAATTTGAAATGCTTTTTGATTTTCTCTCATTTTCTATTAAAAACTTCATATTAAAGATACATATTATTTGAATGCAAAGAATTTCTTAATTGGAACTTTCTAGTAATGACTTGCTTTCTGTTCTTTGGTTTGTTTTATGTAAATACTGTGCTTTCCCCTTTAGAGCAGCAGTAGTATTGAGAAGTCACCTTGGAATAAATTCAAAACTGTTAATTTGCTTTTGTTTTATTATTATTATTTTATTTATTCATTATCACTTCCAAGTTGTCCTTAATAGTGGACTTCAGATATCTGTCCAAATATAATTGCCATGGGATTTCCTGCAGAAAGGTTAGAAGGAGTGTACAGAAATAACATTGATGATGTTGTCAGGTAAGAAACCAACAAATTGAAGTACTGTATGTGAAGTAAAGAATTGATTTAAATAAATAGGGCTGGACATTTAATTTTGGCACCTGGTAGGACTGGCTACCACTGTTGTCGAGCCCTTATACATGTGCATTTTATTTAGATGTATAAGAATGAACGCTTACCGTTTAGTGAGCGACTAGATTGCAGTATGGTGAAACTTTTAATTCCTTTAAGTAATTAATTGAGGTTTTGGCTTCTAATAACAGGTTACTTTCTGTGTATTTTCTTGATAACATATCTTAGTTCTATCATTTCAGATTTCTTGAACAGAAGCACAAAGGACACTATAAAGTATACAACCTGTAAGCTTATTTTTTTATTTTACTTATCTTACTTACCCTGAACCCTATACATAGCTTTAAAAATTAGAGAAGTAGTGAAGTGCTTCTCTTTGTGAAGCTCTTTAGACTTATTATTATCAAGCAAAATATTTGTTGTTTGGAGGAGAGGCAGAGCCCAAGGCCCTATTTACGTTGAGTGGTACAGTTTTCTGTATCGTGCCAGTTTGACTGATCCTTGCATGTAATTTCTAAGTTGGATTTTACTCCCTTAACTGGCTATGTTGAGTGAATAGGATTCTGTTATACTGTGATACTGTTATGTGATAGCCAGGCTATTCAGTTGTTAGGCTCTCATTTTGCAGTGGTATTGAAAACTGTAATGCTTGAATTAATAACTTCCTAAGTCTTCATTTTAGTTCTTCATATTTGTTATTGTCATGTGGCATCAGTATTATGGATATGTTGATATGCATTTGATGATTCTGAGAGGTGATCATGGCCAAGCCTTGCTAGTTCAGCTGTATACTCAGTAGCATATATAACATTCTAAAATGTATTTCATAATTACTTTTTATTCTTTAAGTTGTTCTGAAAGAAATTATGACCCCTCCAAGTTCCACCAGCGGGTGGCTACATTTCCATTTGAAGACCACAACCCACCCAATCTAGAGCTGATAAGACCCTTTTGTGAAGATGTGGATGCTTGGTTATCACAGGATGACAGAAATGTTACAGCAATTCATTGTAAAGCTGGGAAGGTGAGACTTCAGAGAATTTATAGTGGAAATTTAATATTATCAGGGTTATTGTGGAATGTTACAGTAGTTTATTGTTCAGCTTGGTTGAAGGTGAAAATTGAATTTTTTTTATCTTTTTTGTTATTCATTACTGCACAAAGTATTTTGATTTGGGTTTATAGACATTTTAAAATAGATCATTGTTGAACAGTAAAAGTGGGGCAAATAACATAGTTGTCTTCTTTATTGCAACTCATACAAAGCACTTTGTTAAAACTATGTAAAAAATAGAGAATGTGTAATGAAAGTGTATTTTGCTACGTCTTAAATTAGGGCCCATGAATTTTGACCAAGATCAAGTCTGTTCAGTTGCAAAGACTTCTAAAATGTCTACCAAATTGAAATGTTTTAAGAGGAAGTACTGGGTATTTCAATTGCAGGGTAGAACGGGTGTTATGATCTGTGCTTACCTATTACACAGAGGGAAGTTTGACAGTGTAGGTGATGCCTTGAAATTTTATGGACAGGCAAGGACCAGGGATGAAAAGGTAGATATTGATATTGATATTGACCTGTTTATTATGGGTATATTTTGTTTTTAACTTTACAGCATATTATAGTAAGGTAGGACAGTGCATTATGAATGTTGATTTGGGATTGTTTCTGTTCCAAAAGACTACATATCTTGGGAGAGGATGGTAAATAACCAAGTATTTAAAAAAGGTTTAAAGGTTAAACAGTAATTTTAAAAAAATTATAACCATTGAATGACAGAAATAAAGCATGTTTACAACAATAGAGGCACTGATTGAACAAAAACCATCAAAATCAAATATAATATTTGTGGACTTACATGGGAAAGGAATAACAATTTAATTTGTCTTTTCAATAGAATTAAAAACTGCATTTGGGTACAGTGTTCTTGATTTATCAATAAGGCAGACCAAGAGGCAAGTATTGTGAGTCTGGGTTGTTTTGTGCCAACAATTACTTCTTATCAGGGTGTTGTGTTCATATTTTCCTAACACAATATGCAAAACCACAGAAAGAAAAATAGTGGACATAAAAAAAATTAATTTATAGGATATAATACATATATCTAAAAGTTATCAAAAGTCTGATGGTTGATAAGTGCTAGAAGATTGTTGAAGAGGTCTGTACAGTTCGTTAATTGAATTTTTTTTTCAAGTCAGCTCCTTTAGTTGATTTGAGAAAAAAAAACAAAAGAAAGACAGGTGTCTAAGATACATTAAGTGGAATTTTTAGGGATATGATGATGTCTTTTGATAACTATCTATTGTAAAACATGGAAGAGAAAAGCCTGTCCTTAACCTGACTTGGCTACTTTTTTCTCAGTCAGTCTTTATTATTTAGTACGTAGTTTATATGTACAAGGTAGCCTTTGTATCTACTCCCTTTCTATTCATTTGTCTTTCCTGAGCTCTGCTGCTCTGTGGAAGAATGTATTGATCAGTCATATTGCAATTCTGCTTGGCTGTCATGCAATTTTAGCTCAACTTGAGATACTTAGCATTTCACCATTTGCAGGTATTGGGAAATCAGATTGAATGGAAGGGGCACTATATTGATGTGTGGTTATAAGGTCAAGTTACAATTATGATAAGACTCATGCACATTTAGCTTTTATGAAATGGCTTGCTTTACTTACAATGAAGGTTTTGCAATTTTGATGTTTTATTTCCAGATATAATTGACTGGTTTTTATTATTGATGTACCTAAATATTCTTCAATGTCTCTCTATTGTTGATTTTTTAGGGGGTAACGATTCCAAGCCAACGGAGATATGTAGAGTATTACGGAAATTTGGTGCGAAGGGGTCTCCACTACAAACCAGTCACTCTATTATTACGGAAAATTAGATTTGAAACAATTCCCAATTTTAATGGAGGCACTTGTAGTAAGTATGAAATAGATCTTGTGGGTATTTAGTCAGTGATTCCAAGTGATGAATGCATTTAAGTTTTGTATATGAAATTTCAACTAAAAACTAATTTGTTGATATAGAAGAAAAGGAAATTGTCATTCATGATTATTTGCATAGACCTTTTGGAATATGCTATCTAGACTGATTAAGTTCATCATCAAATTGCTCCATGCTGTCAGTGTGGGTTTCCTCATCTTCAATATAGATGTGCATTTAAGGCATTTAAGTGAAAGATGAAATTACTCAAAAGTTTTTTTGATAAAACCCTTTTTAATAGTAGGAATGATCATTTCACCTGACATTTCAATTCCCCTTTTTCATTTATTTTTATATTATTTTTGAAAAAAAAGTATTTATTTGTTCTTTTCTTTTGAGACGGAAATCGAAACCTGTTGAACTGCTTGATAAAACCAGCACTGAACTTGCTATATCAGTGATTAGCTAAATGTGAAATAAAGAGGAAACCTAGACTGGTGCAGTGAAAATCAATTCCCTAAGAGCAATGTTGAGACTTAATTTATTTGAGATTTAATGTATAGTCAACATTGACTTCATTAGAATTATTATTTGGATAATGACTGCCATTCACTTTGATGAGCATTCTCGTGCAGTTTGAATTCAATTATCTAAAGATTGGCTGAATTTGATTACAGGTTATAATACAACTTCACTGAAAAAAATTACCTAGAATTGATTTCTTTAAAAAGGAAAGAAAAGTGTTCTCTGTTAGATTATGGCTAAGGAAGTATTGGATATATTTGCATTTGCACATTTTATTTTCAGCTCCATTCTTTGTTGTTAGTCAGTTAAAGGTGAAGATATATACATCAAGAGTGTATGATACAATCAAAAAGGGCCAGCAGTATTTTGAAATGGAAATCTTTCCACCAATTCCTGTGTGCGGAGATGTCAAAATAGAATATTTTAATAAACCAAAAATGATAAAGAAGGTAAAATGTGTTAAATTCAGACTGTATTCAGTGTGTAAAATACCAGTAAAATTATTAGTCAGAATTTTTTGAAGTGCATTAGACAGATATGTTTAAGCCATTAAGAAAGCACCTTTTGGGTTTTAAAAAATTCATTGCACTACAAACTGTGTAGAAGTTGAATTGGGCAGTAATATCTATTTGGTCCCTTATATATTCAAAAAGGTGTGGATGTTTGTTCAGAATGTTTTTTGCTATACATTTGTAATAGCAGATGCCAGATGCTACATCTTTCTTATTATTCTCTCTTTAGGAAAAAATGTTCCATTTATGGTTCAACACATTCTTTGTGGAGGATCGTGAGGAAGTGGTCCAAAGTAATGGCAATGGTCAGTTTGGGTGTAACTATGGTTCCCAAGGTTCCATTGGGTCAGGGTCGCAGCAGGGGTCCAGTACAAGTTCACAACAGTGGTGTGGGCCTAATACCACAGTCACAGCACCAGGACCAACATCTTATCTTACTGCAGAGTTTGCTAAAGATGAAATAGACAAAGCCAATAAGGACAAGTCACACAAAATCTTCAGTCCAAACTTTAAGGCAAGTTATGGTCATGTTATTTGAGAGAACATTGGCAGTTTAATTGGTTTAATCCCTGTCAAAAGTAAATATATTTATTGATTTTATTTTTTTTAATTTTTAACGGGCATCTGTTTTTAAAGTGAAGATTGCTTAAATATCTTTCTATTGAATTTCTTTGGTTAAGATGTCGGTATGTGTGACATTGTTTCAAGGTGAGCAGGACCACTATGCATTAGTTTGTTCCTGGAATTGAGATAAGTCTTGAACTTCAATCAGTTCATTAAAGATAAACTTTTATCCAATTATCCTGACTAGTAGATTATCCTGCAGACAATTTCTTGAACACAAAATGGTGTCCTAAGAACTGTTAAGTCCATAAAATTGTTAGCATTGTAGAATGGTATTGGTAAATTAAAAAAAAAAGTTACAAATAGAATAAGAAATACTTTTTTGTTTCTTTGATTTTTTTTTTAGATATTAGATCATTTTACTGTACATTTTCTTTTACAGTTAAAACTGTATTTTACATCACCGGAAGATGCTGACCAAATAGATGATCCACTGGGAGAGAACAGGATGGCAGAAGCAGCCATGGAATCTGTAGCTTTTCATAGTAGCAGTGACAATGAAGTTTTAGATGAGAACCTCTCAGATACTGACACAGACAACGAATGGGAAGGATGTGAAGTGACTCATGTATGATGTTGGTAGTAGATATGTTTGTAAGGATTGGACACCCTCATATTTTTTTTAAGAAAAAAAAACAACGGATTCATAAGGGCATCGGCAGATATGTTTTGACCTTGAAACTGGGGGATCATGTAAGATGTTATGTGCCAAGGAAATGGGATAGTGTGATGGCCAGAGATACAAAGTGAATAAAATGACACTGAATTACAGTGTAGAGAGCAAGTAAAGGCTGACATTAGAGGTATAAGGATGGAATTCCTATTTTTTGTGCCTGGGAGGTAAATCTGACTCCTTCCCTGAAGGATTGTTCTAGTTGAAGCAATCCTGTTGTTCTAGGAATATACATTACCATGTATCAGTGGTATGGGCATTCTGTGGTCAATTTGTTCTTTTGTTCTGACTGATGAATCTGAGAAGCCAATACACAGCAGAAGTATTGTTATTATTTTAAGTATTTTGTTTGTATGTTGAACATACACAGCCAGACACAGGTTTGTGTTATAGTAATTAAGTTATATTCACTTTGAAAAAGTTATACCAGCTAAGATCTCATTTCTCCCTTGTGATAAGTTGGGTGCCCTCCCAGCAGTGGACCCCTTGACCATCAATTAATTAACAAGTGTTACTTTAAAGAGTGCATTTGTTCCCATGAGGTCTATTCTGGGATTATTACTGGTTTATTAATAAGTATAACTGAAAATAGATGAGATTTTTTCATTGTGAATATAGCTTGAGTATTCTACGTGGGAGTTGCAAGAACAAGTGTACATGTACAGTCCATCAACCTGATTAGGATCTCCTGCTGTTGCAAACAGGCAAAATTTTGTGGAATTTGTACATATGTAGAACTGTGTCACATTTCATTGTTATTATTTCATTCATCTGCTTGATTTCATCCAGGGGATCAGAAATTTACTTTAAAAGATAAAGTATTATATTATTACTATGGTTAACGAAAGAGAGGGGTGTGATAAGATAGCAGGAAGACTGCATGGTTTGTCTCAGAGTGAAATGATTTTATCCATCCCACTTCACAATGTGGGGCCATTACTTGTTTATTTTAGATTAGCCATAGTGCATTCATTCATTCATTAAAACACCCATGTCAGATAGCCATCATCACATCATTGTCATTGTAGCATTGTCACTAGTGGCTGCATCATTCCATTTCTAGTATTAGGAAGTTGATTTCAGCATTTTAGTACAGATTTCTGTCAGCAATGTCGTTCATTTTCCATTCGTGTCATCACATTTACTAGTTCTTAAACTTTTTATAAGCACATTAATCTGCTTATAAACCTTCGCTAGATTTTTTCAACCATAATGAATTGAGCAAAGAAGAAAATACCCATGAAGTGTGTGGTTAAGTATATTTTAATGTATGAATTAAGCATGAAGGAAGTACTTAAAAATAAACTTGTTTCTCAAGTATAACAACTTCATTTGTTTTGTCATTTCAGTTTGTACTTGCAAAAAATGTGTTTAAGAGTGAAATCCAGTGTAAAAAGAAAGTATTGGTGGATTTGGTGATAAACTTGGAATTCTGTTGATTGCAAGATCTTGCATGTAATATTCAAGTATCTTCCTCTCAACCAGGTTCATTACTTTGGGATTTTTTCTTTATCTGCTTAGATTAAGCAGGAAGAAACGGGTAATTCTGACACATAAAAGAAAAAAATTGGGGCAAATTGGCTCATTTGACCTGATGGCCTAACAGCACTAATTTAAGGTGAAAACTAATATCATTTTCTAACGGATGTCCCTCACCTGAACAGCTATCAACATCACTTTAATGCCAATTTAATCACCATAGTGAGTGGTGCCAGGAAATTTTTCTTGGAAGGCTTACAGTAAAGAGGCAAAATATTTCCTTCTTTTAATGGAACATCATAATTACGGTCTCATGGCACCAGATTGTAGTTCAAACCCTAGTGCGGAAGCTTGTGGGGTGGTGAATTTAAGTATTTCAGTTAAATGAAACTGGTAAAAAGCTATTTTACTAAATGAAGGCCTTTATATGTACTAACCAAACCCTTTATAATGTATATGGCATGGCAGACATAGTTTGAGGCATAGAATGCTGTATAACAGCTTATTGGAGTGGTCAGCATTGTTTTTAAATTTTTTTAAAACATACACTATGAGACTGTATATTTTCTGATCATCACTCTTCAAATTTCTGGGTGCAAATTTCACCTTTTTTGGGAAACACAAACCACCCTTTTGAAGGAAACATCTATATATTCCAAGAAATTTGAATAACATCATCAAGAGTGAATAGGCTGATACAAACAATATTTTTGCAGACTTTTAATGCATAATAGTGGACCTCTATATAATATTGTCTGAAATGGTTGGTTTCTTTAGATTCCATAAGTTAGGTGTAGAAAAGAGCTGTCAAATCATAATGCAAATCAATTTTTTCAACAATTCCTTAATTGCACATAACAGAGACAGTTTGAAATGCACCACACAGTTTTTGATTAGAAAAGATCAATCAGTGAACTTCTACAATATTAATAAAGTCCACAATGCTCCAAAATATTACAAATCTGGATTCCATTCTACTTGAAACGAGTGGTTTTGATAGTTGTACTTAAAGATTGGTTCTTCTGAGACAATATTTTGACTAGATTTAACTGAAAAAATACTTCTACTGAAGCAAGTTTGATTACTCATAATTATCTGCAGAATAAAAGCAAATATAGCAAGACAAAAATCCAGTAATCTTTACTTGGACATATGCCTGTGCATGAAGACCTATATCTAAACCTACTACATACAGTATAAAAAACAAGCAGCTATGCAGCTTGAACTACAAAATATAAAAGCTGTAACTAAAATTCATTAAATAAAACTTGCTCATATTTTTTAAGTTTCTTATTATATGAGACCATAATTATCTTTGCAAAAATAGATATGATAACAAATATGTCAATTAAATCTCTTAAGATTGGTAAGTCTAAACTGTACATTTGCATGGTTTTGCAATTTGAAGCTGAGGTAGAATCTACATTTTCACTACCCAAGACTAAAATCACAGATTCAATGATCATATGTATTAGCCTGCATGGACAGTGAAAAAAAGATCCCTTGTTCCCATTGCTCCACTCAATAAAACAATAAAAACATTTAAGCCAATCTGAGGAGTGTGTGACCAAACCATGGATACATTATCTTTGGATTCCAAAGGTTTCAAACCCCTCTCCACAATTATTGGCTACATGATTGTCTTATCTTTTCCATGGTTACACACAAAGTGGACCTTTCAGGTGAACACATACAACTCAAATACAATTACAACACTTCTATAAAGTATTTTATACAAAGTGAGTTATAATAGTCATTTAAAAAATAAGTGCTTTTTATGTTAATACTATGTAGTGTATACATTCATAAATATTCTTTGGTGATTACAATCTGCTTCATTTTAGTGAATTTTAAGTATGAGCCCTTGATTATTAAAACAGAGATTAATCTAAAGTCCCTTAAACTATTGGTCTTTATGTTGGACGGAAAATATAAAGAAAATAGTCGAACAACAAGTAAGAAATCTTAAAAAAGAAATATATACCTTTCTAGAAAGCAGATTCTTCTTTTAATTGTTGTATCATTTCAAGAGCACAGCATTAGTATAATCAACTCAAATTACTGAACATTAAATTTTCCTTCACATCTACTAACCAAAAACACTTGAATAAAAGCATTCTGCAACTATTAAAGAAACTAAGATTAAAACAGTTCCACTGTCTAATCGATTGTTTTCACATGCTACCAATTAAGCAACAGATTTAAAACACAATTTAAACATGAATTCGGTCACTTCAAACACAAAGGCAACAATTTATGACATAGTCCATTATAAAACAGTCGCCACAACTTGATCACACCATGTTTACATTAGAAATACTATCATATGTTCTGATTCTACTATGATCAATATGTTAATGACTATGGCTGGAATCTAAAATATATGCATATTACGAACTTACATTGCTATGTGATGCCCTCACTTGTATTTTGTGAGACTTACCTACCAAGCCAAAAAGCCCGGACCACACTTCCTGTTAAAACATACTTTAATTCCAAGATATTGCAATGTGAAATCTGACAAAATGTCATCTGACTAGAAAATTTGATGTCTTAATCTTTTTTTTTTTTTAAGGTCCACTTTTTCTCCATGATTTTTGTCGAGGTGCAATCTTTGGTGTGTTAGCTCCCCTCCACCAGCGTCCTCCACTAAGGTCAGCTGACCAAGCTACCAGCGGCCGCTCTGTGTGGCCAAGTCATGTCGCCGAATAAAAGACCCAGTATCTCGGAATGGGTTGTTGGAACCAGGAGTGGCAGAGAAACTTTTTCTTTTGTTGAGATCTGGATAATGAAATTGACACCAAACATTCTTACATTTCATGAATTTTTACGGGTTGTTACTACTGTAGATTTTAAAAGCATGCATACAAATACAGGAATAAGAAAATTCAATAAAAGCTGCCTTGTGAAAATTGTTTTATCAACAAAACTGAACTGAATTTCATAAGATTCAAAACATTCAATTCAAAATACTCATATCGAAGAAATGAAAGAACAGAAGTACTATTCACATCTTGGAGACCATTCCCATACCCTATCATAGTCTAACTTTGTATCAAACTATCTCCAAAGGGATTCTCACTTAATTGCAATTAACTTAAGCACCTTAGATGTCTGTCACGCCTACTAAAGCTGATAGGCAGTAATTAACTATCATTCAGCAGCTTTAGTAGGCATCCCAGACATCAAAGCCACTTAAGCCGAAAGCAATTTAGCGAGAAACCCCATGGAGATGGACTGACCCTGTTAGGTCCACGATAGAACTATAGCCTGAAAATTGCTTTTTAGACCAGGTCCTGGTTTCACAGAAAAACAAAACTTAGTTCCCTTGCTAAGGATGTATACATGTTTCCAAGTGAGTGCTGTACCATTGTTCCTATAGGGTAAGATGTGTGCACCTGACCATGGTAGCCACTGGGACTGACAAATTATTATTATTATTTTGTGAAAATGGGATCAGAAATTTAACTACTTTGACCCAAGGTAAATGGGAAGAAGTTCCATTAAATAAAATATTGCATCCTTTTTATAATGAGAAAAAAACAGTATTATGTTTCAAAACATAACCTATTTTATCTAAGTGGACTACTAAGGACTGATCTCAACTAACTGTTGCACCTACCTGCTATAGCCAAAAGCATCTTTCTTCTTGCACCAAAGGTGGTAATTCCCAGTTCTTTTAAGTCCTGGTCAGTCAGGGTCAGGAATGTAGCAAAGTCAATCTGGAAGAAATCAAACTCAACATGACTAACCAGCTGCTTGTGAAATTCAATTTAAAGTACAGGTTTTATATATATATATATGTTGTAAGGATTCTTTAAGCATTTCCAGATCGGATGTTTTATACAGAAAACTATTGTACTATAAAAATTATCACTAAAAAACTAATGTCACTGCTACTACAAAGGAAAGATGTACAGGAACTTTCAAAGAACTGATCCAAATCACAGGTTTTTCTGGCATTGTGATATGCACATAGTATATGCACATTGTATTCAATAAATATTTAACCACTGGTTCATACTGACCTCTTGTTGTTGAAACAAGTCTGTATATTTCCCAAGCCCTAGTCTGCTGAATAGCTCTGCCAAGTCCGTCTTTGGTGGCCAAGAGGAGCTACTGTTTCTCAAGTGGGCTGAACTGTCTACATGATTGCCAAGATCCAACTTGAACTCTGCTATAAATAGTTAAATAGCAAAATCCTTATATGAATACTGTTTTAAAATTATCTTGTCATTGCCACATGGTGATCAGGTGAACCTAAATTAGGTTTTTGTTTTATAACCAAGGAAGTGAGCCGCAAAATCTAATCAATTACTTTAACATAACTATAACTACTTATAACCTGAAACTTTTGCACAGCACCATTTTCGGTCTGTAGTAAAAATTCTTTTTATGATTACAGTACATTTAGACACCAAGCCAATTTTAACTTACGTTGCTTCTTCCTTGGACTCGGAAAATCCCCAGGGGCTGGACACAGGGGTTTGTTCTTGGTCGAGTCTCTCCATGGATCTCTATCAATTCCATCATCTTCCTCACCAAGTGTGGACTAAAATAAAGACTCGTTTAATCAAATATGTTATCTGAGTGGAATATGCTTATTCATTTTTTTTTTGTTCTGCTGCAGCTACAACTGCTACTACTATAAATAAAAGAAAAAAATATGCAAGCATAATGCAACTATATACATTTATTATGTAAAAACATGAACACATAAAATAACACATCTGACAAAAATTTGAAAATTTAAAAAAAATTATTATTATCAAAAAGCACAACATCCGATTACTCACATTTTCATCCTCATCCTCATCATTAGCAGACTAAACACAAAGAGTCGTAACATATCAAAATACTGCTCCATCTTTACAAATTCTCTTCTTTACACAATGAATTTCAATTTGAACAGTTTAATGTTGAAAAGCATAAGGAACCAACTGAAACCAATTTTTCATTAATTTTGTGTTATATAATAATATACATGTCCCTTTGCTATAGAATTACATTACAGTAGTCATTTGATTGGGAAGAATAGCATTGAAACTTAAAAATAATAATTACCTCATAAGTAGTGGGCATAGTTGGTCCTTTGTAAGTGTTGTTACTGAAGTTCATCTTATCCCTAATAGCAGAATCTGGCATAGATTTTGAGAAGCCAAGACCTGCCCAATAGTCTGTTGGGATTCTGGATTCACCTTCTGGTTTCTTTTGCATAGCTAGAGTGAGTGAGAAAATAGTAAACTTATAACTTACTTAGTATCAACTTCATCTGCACGTTACAAAATGATTAACAGAACAACATTAATATAACATTTTTAAATACTGCAGGGAGAATTGGAGGGGCAGAAAATGTCCACTAATAATCAAATTCATTTTAAAAAATGTAAATAAATGAAAAAAGGAACAAATTAATTTTAAAAAATGTAAATAAATGAAAAAAGGAACTAATTCATTTATGTCTCCTCCATCACAGTGTGCCACAAACTTTCATAGTTCCATTCACAACAAGAAAGAAAGCAACAAAGAATACTGGTTGTCTCTTTTTGTATTTCTGTAAGCAAAATCCCTTTTGAAGTGAATAAAAAATGCATAGTTAACTAGACAAGATTGCATTCACAGATAAATAAATAAAAAAAATCTGGTATACCTATTCCCAGCTCCTCTACGTACATGTAGGGATAGTAGGGGAGTATAAAAATGTTCACTGAATGAGGAAATATAAATGTTTGTGTGGATGACTGGATTCTGGGAATGGAGGTATGGGTAATACAACAGCCTCAAAATTTAATTTCAATTTTAAGTTAGAAAACATACCTTTGGTTGCCAGAAGTTTCTTCCTCTCATAATCAAATGGATATGCATTGTTTGAAAATAAGGAGTTTGTGTTGCTGTTCATGCTGTTGCCAGGGGAAGGTCGATTACTTCCTGGAGCCAGTGGGTCAGAACCATCAGACTCTGTACCAGACTCTGAGGATCTGTCTCCATTTCTGAAGGAGAAATACATATATAAATAATAATAAATTTGAAAAATACCAGGACATTTTCTCATTGAATTTTTATAAACAATCTACTTGATGAAATTTGCTATACTTTCCTCTCAAGTATAATATATATTCCACAAAAACACCACTTACTGAAATGCCATACTCCTCATGTTGCCTTCCAGCAGAAGTATCTGCTGCTGAGCAGGTGACAGTGTATTAACTGTAGATCCAGGAGGCTGGTTAAGACCCAGAAGGTCAGAACCTGACCCACTGTTACTGGGAGAAGCTTGCTTTGGCACAACCACATTCATATACCCATTGCCTGATTTAACTGTCACTACTTCATGGCCTGAAAAAAAAAAGAATGGATAAATTACAAACAGGTAATATGTTCACTTCTCTGGAAAAGTATTTTTTGTTTTTGAACTACAGAAAAAAACTTCCTTTACTTAAAGCTATCATCTCATGCTTTGTTCATCTTACAAATTCAAATTACCCAAAACATTGCTTTATACATGTTATAAATTCAGAATAAAAATGATTTCTTTTGACAAATTCAATGTTTAACCTCTAAACTTAAAATCTGCTCAAAACTTACTTTCACTCCCTTGGGGTGATCCTGGATTTTTATTAATGAGATCAATAGGGCTGTCCCTAGGGCTGTCAGATGGACTGGTGGCACTGCTGGGGTTACTGCTGGCTGTCGAAATGGCTACAATATTTAGGCATATACCAAATATTCCATTAATTGTCATTATATGTTAAATACACCATCATAAAATGAAAACAATTGATTTTTATTCCTACCATCCACTGATCTTGTATGTAATTTATAACACCTTATTATGCTGGCCAAGCAAACGATTAACACAATGTTTGAATGCGTTAATGGTGTTTGCAAAATTATGAATTTTTGCAGTGTTGATGGTTAGTACACACCTTTCTCAGGTGTTGGTACCCTAATAAATGCACTGTTTTGGTTTAGGTCTTTGAGCCCATTGCACTGGGTAAGCAGATTGTAAGTGGCTGTGATAGGTGGGAAGTTTCCAACATTGTTCACCTGCAGCAGCATTGGAGGGCCTTGCATACCTGTAGAATAAAATGGTGATATTTAAAACCCCCAATCAGAATATTAATACAATCTCTGACTAAATTGCAAAAAAAGGTAAAAGCAGAAAAGGAAAAAAGGACTAAAATAACTTAATATTAACTTCACATATTGGCATTGTAAAATGTTTCTTACTATGCGATGTAAGCCAGTTATTTGGGCTTGTTGATCCAGGACTTCCACTGGTTTCACTACTAGTTGATTGGTGTCTCTGGCAGTTCTGGCCATTGATAACATACACAGGGTTGGGCAAAGTATTAATACTCAGCGTGTTCTGACCAAGCATGCCTGAAATATTAGATAGTGTAAATAGGAACTCTAGCATAAACATTAAAAAAGAAATTAAGATGGGAAATCTAGTATGAACATTAAGAAAGATTAAATTTTGACAAGCCAAAGCTCCAGTTTTCCTACATTTAAATTTAACGAAGAAGTCAAGAGATCCTTGAGATAAGCAACAAAGAAAAACTGCTTCAACAACATAATGTAAGTACTATTTTGAGTAAAAAAAAAAAAAAAAAAAAAATCATCACCTTCATATTTCTTCATTAATATTTCATAATGTTACATGAACTTTCTGGTGGATTAGCAATTTCAAAACCACATAAAATTAACCTCACCTAATCCAGCTAGGCCCAAGCTATTGGTGGTGGGAGAAATGTCATGGGTGGCTTCATGTATGGATGGAGGTAGAGACTGATCATCTCTGTCCAACCCAAGCAACACACGGCGTGCCTCATACATGTTCAGTGCATTGCGCTCAATACTCTTCACAATCACAGACTACAATGAAAGAAAATATCCATTTAATTTTAAATGAAGCAGATTTTTTCCTTTTTCTAAATTTTCAGGGAACATAGCAGTATCAATTTATATTGTATAGCATGTGTGAGGCTTTTCCGGAAAAATAATCTAAAATGAATTTAATATCAATTTTATGAGCCTTGTTGAATTAAAAAACCTTACCAGAGTTCAAAACTATTTCCTCTCTGATATTATATAGCCATTTTAGAACTAAGACAATTTTGATCAAGATACAGATATTAAATTCCAGGTTACGGAAAAATGAAGACAAGGTCTTTCCATTAACTAAACAACTGATCAGACAAGTAAGACCTACTTCTGATTTGAAGTTGTCTTATCTAACATGATATTTGAAATTTAAATTATGAACTTGCTTCATGTGTGAGCCCGGCTTTGAACGTGGTTAAAATATCATCAGACACTGCATTTGAAACAAAAGCACATTCCCTCTCTGATCTATGCACTTAATGTGCTAGCTGGCAGTGAACATGTTATTTAAAGCTGGCATTTGAGGTAAGGGCAATGAAGTTTGAGCAAAACAGTCAGAATATGACCACAAAGGTTAAGGTACTGCTGAGTACAATGCTTTTTTCAGCATGAGGGAGATAAAATTCAAGACCTTATTGTTTACTCAAATAACAAAATCTATGCCAAAAAACAGTTTGACCTTTCGAGGCAGGTGCAAGATCAACTGTAACTTATGTTTCTTAATGTTGTGTCATCAGCAGCAATCACCCCAAGGGAACAACCCTGTTGCAGCCTTCTTATGTAACAAATGCAGAGTGGTTTGAAAAACAAGATAATGAGAGAGACTGAGTATGGAGCAACAAATCCGGCAGCTGTTTCTTTCATGCAAAGAAGCTGAGAAGGGAAATGGAAGACTACCTGAAATTTCCTACTGCAGGAAATAAAAAGTGATTTTGCAACAAAAAAGGCAAAAAGGTCATGCAAAAAGTAAAAAAAAAAAGACATTAGGACAAATGGGCTAGTCTGAATATCTGATCCTTGATTCTAAAAGTAAGAAGGCACACATTTACTTGAATATAGCATTATAATAAATGGGTAACAAAAGTAATTCTGTGGTTGCTTCTTTTTTACAATGGAGAAACAGGTATCAAATTTATTTGTACAAAAATGACATGATATTTAATATACAATAACAGACCTGGGTTGAGGAATATAAAACAGTCATTAAAAGCAAAATTTTATAAGTTAATACCTATATATCAATATCCTCCAAGAGAACATCATAAGTAGCAACTTGGCCGTCATCCTTCTTTCTTGTCATTTAATTGATAAAATGCTTCCTTTTCTCCGATTGGTCAAAAAACCTTCAATGATGCTATTGGTCAATACTAAATTTGGTGGTGATGTCATTGATCAAAATCTTGTTTTGTCAGAGTGAAAATTCACAGATATAAGGTCAAAGTATAGTGTCACTTTTAGAATGATAAGAAAAAATTTACCTTAGATGGTTGTTTTGGTTTTGGCTTGATACTGATAAAAACATCCAGCTGCTCCATAAGATATGCTATTTTGGCTGCAAAAAAATGGAAGAAACTAACTTCAAAAGGAATATACCATTGAAAATAATATATATATATATATATATATATATATATATATATATATATATATTTTTTTTTTTTTTTTATTTATTTTTTTTTTCCAGTAAATAGAACTTTTTACACTCACTTTGTCATTCAAGATTTATCAAGCAAAAATTAAAACAGTTTTCTTACCTTGACCGACTTCCACGTCAGCTTTCATATCAAACATAAGCACCAGTGGTAAGCATTGCTGAAATGGGCAGATTCCAATATTGTAAAATAAATTCTTGTTCAATCATGATATACTGAAACATTATTTCCACTATATTGTATTTTCTTGCAAACAATGATTGAGAAACCTAAATTTAGAGCTATTGGTGATTCTGTTACACGAACAAAATCAAAATAAAATTTTGCTTACTATTAACTGTTGCCTGGCTAAGAATACACTCTCAATTCCCCCTGTTATATACACTGTGCCTTTACGCTGTGGTGTCACATTGTTGGGATCTGGGAAATGGATGCTTGCTCCAGTCCTCTGCATGATATGTTTTACATTCATGCCACCTCTTCCAATCATGAACAGGTGGTGCTGGGGAGCAATCTCCAGTTGTGTACTGATAGGGATGTTGGTCTTAAAGATGAAAATTATTATTGTTAAAGCTACATTCTAGCAGCGAATGATGCAAATCTTTGTACCAATTTTCTTCCTCGAAACATATCCAAGTATGACATATATGTTTTACCATTTTATAAATGGCTTGCTTTAATCAAACTCACTTTGTTGCAGAAAACTTTCAATTACCCCTGAATTTCCAGCCAAATGCTCCATGACAGCTTTGGTTGCCATGGTGACAGCTTTTGCATTACTAACTGTTCCTCGTACTATGACTGTGGTCACATACATCCTGGGCCTCTGTTTAAATGTCACTGTGACATTGTGTTGCTGCATTATGTTTTGTATTGGTGGTGAAGATGTATCTGGCACTGGCTGGAGGACCCCTGTTATTGGCAGTTCAAAGGAAAATGCTAATGGCAGTAGTTCCTGAAACGGTTTCATTGCAAACATAAAATAAATCAATCAATGACCATTTATCAGAACAATCACTACATCAAAAAAGCAATTTGGACAATTCCAACTAAAACCCCTTATCCAAATAGTGGTTCAGTCTCTCATATGATTTACTTATTACACTTACTTATTTGATGATATATTAACATTTAAGTGTAAATAATGTATTCTGAGGCAGACAGGTTTAGATAAGACCTACTCTAATGTGTGCTCTAGCACTCTCCACACCAGTAGGCTGGCCAGCTATAGACACCTAAAATATAAATTAAGACTTTGAAATACAGATGAAAATTGTAAATAATAAAATCTGACAGGCAGTATTGGAAGTCATGAATAAACAGAACCCCTCTTGCATCACATCTCATACCAACTAAAATGCACTTGATATAACAGGTATAAATAGTGCCAATTGTTGAGAATAGTTTTCAGAATGTGTGCTTTATCAAATATTATACATGGTTAATGACAGGCCGTTTCACACAAAACAAAACGCAAAAGGTTTCGGCAGTAAATTATTTAAAATACTAGTTTTACAGTTCACTGAAACAAAATTTGCAATGAGCAAAAAAAAAAAAAAAAATGAATCATCTAAGAATCACTCTTGCACATTCCTTGTGTACAAGGGTCTGATGCACTTCAATCTTTAAAAAGAATATTTTCGAAGCCCAATAAAAAATGTGTGACATTTGTAGAAGAAGTTATGGGAGTTTTTGCGTCATATTCCTCATGAGGCATGCACCACATTGATGTAAGACTATCTCCAGTCAAGAGGGGAGTTGGATTCAAACAACAAGAACTTTATTTTAAGTGACATTCCTCTGACATTTTTTTTTACATAAAGAATTTTCCACACTCCATTTTCAAGAGGATGTGATTATAAACAATGTGTAACAGGTATAAAGGAATTATAAAACTATTTGTTAAATAGCAAAGATGTAGACCTTTTTTTTTTTGTAAAAAGGTACTTTTTACCAAATAAATTAAAACCACTTCCACCTCACTCAAAGGACTTGAATCTTTGTGGTTTGTCCAACAAGTGGGATAAGCAAATGGCGCCTGACAACAAATCATTTTTAAAGCCTACAAAACTATTAGTGCAATATACAACATACTGTTCTTATCAAAAAATCAGGGTATGCCTGATTATATACCAATGAATCAATATTATTAACACTCCCATACACTCCACTTCCAGACCTTAACCCTTTTTGGAGTAATTAAATATCACATATGTGATATGGTGATGGAAAGATTAAATTCTTCATGGTTAGCAAATTTGCAAGCTGGGACACTTGATCCTCTTACTTTCTTCAAACCCAGGACCTTGACTGTGACCCATGTTGTAAAAGGTTTATTCTTTGATCCAAGGTTCTGGCCCTCACCACTTACTGGTTTAACACTTTTTATCAATAGCTGAAGAATTTGGAGCTGACCACAATAGTCATAATCATGGCATAAACATGAGATAACAAAAGGTTAGGATGAGAATACACTGGCAATATACCAAATACAACTAGGGTGGTTCTAATGCCGAGGATGATAAGGGGGGGGGGGGGGGTATTTTCGCAAAGTGAGGAAAATATAAATCAATTTCTACAGCAGATATTACACTTCCTTGTTGCAATTCTCTAGAGAGATGATGGCCATTGCATTTATTGACATGCTTGTTAAATTTTCATAATCACTTTTGTTCATGTTAGTTTAAAGTTCATAAACCAGTATGTTGATATATTGTAAAGAAAGGGGATGTAAATAATAGAAATGGCTTGTACTTGCTTCTGTGTTTTGTATGATTGCTACCACATGGCATTGTTTTCCTACCTGGTTGCTCTTCTCTGTTGTGCTCCCTCTGTTAGAGTCTGGGAAATGTATGTGGCATCCTGTCTGTTGCATTACCCTCTTGATGTTATTACCTCCCTTACCTATCACATGGGAATGGTCTGTGTGTGACACATCCATTTTCAAGGTTACACGATTACTCTAAAATTGAAATACCAAATATTTTTAACTACCCCCATTACACAATATGATACTCATTGAAATCCAACATGTATCCGTCATGTAGATTTGACACTTAAATATAAGTGAAGTAAACATGGGGAATAAAGGGAAAATATTGAGAGAGCAATCAAAATGTGACTAAGTATGTTGCACCTATTATTCAAGATAAAAATTGCAAAAAAAAAAAATGTACAAAAGGACTGAAAGATTTGATGATAAAATCAGAACTGATACAAAGAGGTTTCAATTAAAGGGACTTCGAACTTGTAACATGCCTTTCTAGAAAACCAACATTCTATCAATCATTACTGTAAGGAAATTATTCAATCCATATCCAGAAATAGCAATAATGATCACAGCATGAACATATTAATCTTTCTATGCTTCACTGACAAGCTTCAAAGTTAAGAATGTACATGACAGATTATCTACAACTCATGCCATTGTTCTGTGATATTTTGTTGGCTAGGTGGGGCTTCCGGGAATTTAAAAAAAATGGGTTTTCAACCTACATATATCGCATCTATGCCTCATAGCAACCTCAGTTGGAATATTTCTATAAAAAACTTTTTCAGACATCTTTTCTTACAAAATCAAAATTCAGTTTTTGGATCTTTCTGATCCTTTGGTTGAAAACACAAGCTTAGGTGAAAAAGAGGGAATCATAAGCCAATATTCAGACTTTCTGGACATTTTAAAAATCTCAGTATCTGTCTACTTGAACTGAAAGAAGCACACATGCACATGCACACATGAACACTATACTGAGGATCAATATAGTTCTATTAATTTTTTTCCTCATCTCACCTTTGTGTCCAGCACACACATAATCCTGTCCTTGGCATTCCTTACATCATCTGGTTCACCTGCCACTTTGATGTGAGGATCTGAAGAGAAAAATATAGTAATTAATTATACCTAATATCACCCAAACAGATCTAACCGAAAAATACAGAAATTAATGACATCTTGTATCATTCAAACAGGTAGTCTCTTATCATATGACAACATGGGAATGTACTCAATAAAACTACCTCCTTTCTCCGTGTTCTGAAAATACTGATAAAAAAGCAATAGCCTCTTATCAGTAAAATAATGATACAATACTGCTGGTTCTTTAGTGCTGTTTGGAAGCAATATTATGCAATAAAAACACTTTATAACTACAAACTTCTCTTAAATGATTTGTAACAAGTAAAAACTGCTGTTATGTATTGTTGCAAATAAAAAAATCAAACATTTTAGTTCTGGAATCACAGATGACATAGACCTACACAATTCTTATGAAGTAAGCAACAAAGTAATTTGATTTGTATATCTATGTACAATAGAAAATTCACATAAATACCTCAGCGGTGTGAATATACCCATCCCTACCTAACACAAGTTTGCTATCATCTGTTTATAGCAGAGCTACATCTGCTTTGTTTTGTGCATCAATACTGAGTTTTATTTGTGCATATGTCTGTTCCTGCTCTTTTTTTCTGTTTAATGTGAGTCTTGAGTGAATCCAAATGTGATAGCACCAAGATTATTTCAACTTAAATGTAGATGCAAATATTGCTAAAACTAGGTGTGAATTTTCACACTGTCAAACAACCTCTCTCTTATTCAAGAAGTATTCTCTTTTTCTCAGATTCAGGCATTAACTAAATATTAAGTTATATCAATCTTTTTCTTGATTCTCATTTTGTCACATACTTGGCTTAGGAGAGCGGGACCTTATAGGTCTGTAATTGGGGTGGTCACTCTTGGGAGTATTGTGTCTCATTTGAAGAAAGCTTGGTACCCCATGTCCAAAAAAGTTGTTTGCAATGTGGTCAGTCTGTTGCATCTCTGGGTGGTTTGTGACAAAATTGTCTGGTACATTAGACTGTAGTGGAGGTGGCTGGCTGGAAAACATTTGGTATGGTAAAGTTGCTGGCCCTTGAGGCCATGGAGTCATTGTGTCCATCATGTTCACCACCTTCCTTGCACCTCAGTCACTTTGCTAGTCACTTCACTCACTAAATTTATACAGATTTCTCCTCCTCCTCGTCTTGTCAGTCAGGTAAAAACTTTGTAAAATCAGCTAAAACATATACAGCATCAGAGTGGCCCCTCCTTGTTCTTCTTGGCAGCAGAATGGTGAACTGGTCTCATCCTCTGTGCTGCAGTGTCTGTGTAGAGGTCAGCTCTGAGCTATGAGTGAACTATCCCAAACATTTCCACTCGGCTATTATCATAACAATGCACAATCCTCCATAACATCCAATCACAGGAACATCTGAGTGAGTAGATCCAGTCCATTGTCACCAAACCAGCAGTCAATTCAGATGCTTTGTCATGGGACCCCAATTAACTCACTGCATTGCATCTTAATAAAGGCTGGGCTAATCCCAAGTGAAAACTCCCCCCTCCTCTTTGTCAGTGGCCCTTTCTAGGACATTCTGGCTGTTTACAAAAGCCAGGCTAATTATTGTTTTAATTGTTATATACTGTAATATTATTTTTTCTTCTAAAACTATGATAATGCTCCAGTGATTTGGGCCTTTGAAAGTATTATTAAGTGAGGAAGTTGGGTAGACTGCAATAATGGACAGAGTGAGATAATTCCAAAAATCCAGAGAGAGTTTTGATAGCCAACAACGAGGGCAGTTTGTAGGCATATAAATTATATACAATATCCTTACTAAATATTTAATTAGGTCCTCAAGTTTGTCATATATGTAATATATCATTTGTTTTGATTTTACATGACCTTTTAACCAGTCTGTATGCATCTTGCAGTGAAATTGCAATAACAACTTTTGCAGACAAATTGCAATGGTAATATTTCATTTCTTGATATGAGAGAACATATAACAGCAGACCTTTTGTAAACTGTAAACCAGGTTGTTTGTTTTAAAATATTTCTAATTTTGTTTTCACATCTCAAGGTTTTGAGATAGGGGCGCTGTCAAAATACAAGTACTTCAAAGGTGCAGTCCTGAAATGTGTATTTAGACTGCATTCCCACAGATTTTTAGATCAATCTATCCCTGTGGGGAGTCTCACTAGATTGCTGTCAGGTTAGCCAGCTTAAATGTCTGTCCCGCCTACTTAAAGCTGTAAGGGGGTAATCAACTTTCGTGTATGCTTGGCTGACAGCAATTTAGCGTGAATCCCCAGGGAGTTAGGTTGATCCAGATGGATCAATCTAAATCTGTGGGAATGCAGTCTTCGAGAAGTAGGATTTAAACAGAAGGCCCAAGCTGACCACCCTTTAAAACACAGACACACACACACACATACAGTTATGTACTCATTTTATCACCAAGTTAAAAATGTTTGCTTATATACTTCATCATCTTACTTATTCTTTCTTCCTTTTTTAAAGGTCTCCAAGCTTCCCAGTGCATGCTCAATACTTTTTATGTAAAGCTGAAAACAATTGTTGGGAAGGAAGTGAGATATTCATCAAATATTGACTCTCTCCCAACTTAATTCAGGCCCAAGTATATGTGTTTGTTTTTCTTTTTTGACCCTTTTCAATAATTTATCATTTCCGGATTGGTAATATGGCAATTGATGAGTCAATATCTATTTCCAAATCAGTTATTCATGACCTTTTATCACAAACACTGTCACAGATGAATAATCTAGCTTTCACCAAGAATATTGCTATACTGGTTGTAACATTTGTTGATCATATTGTCTACTTATACTTGATATAACTTGTTAATGGAATGTTTTGCATCATGCTTTAGGTTCTCTTTTTAGTACCTATGTTGAGCATGTTGTCTGCCTAGACTTGATAGAACTTGTTAAGAGGGTAGTCTGCATGATGCTTTGTTTATACTTGATAAAAATATCAGATGAACCAGAATAATATCCCTTACAAACTGAAGCCAACAGTGCTAGTTCAAATATTTTGTGTCTTGAGACATGTTAAATGTTATCCGATGACTGTGAATAGTTCTAAAATTAATTGTAGCATTAAACTTGTAAACTGACCACATGTGATCATTAAGATATAAGTTATTTTAAACTCTTTTCCCCTTTTAAAATACTTGCACATGGGCATGTTTGTAAAAGGACATGTGGCTATCTTGTTTGGCCAATATAATAACTGCATTTTGCTAATAAGCTGCTGCAGCTGCACACTTTTCTCTGCGCAGAAATTTTTTTTAAAAATCAGGATGACCTCTGTGACCCACTTCTAAGGGAGGCAACTCCTTCACTGTGTAAGTGGCAAATCTGAAAGTCTGCAATTAATTAGCCAAAAGAATGAACACCACAAAACTACTTTTTCCTTTTAACTAAAGTAGCAGAGATATTTAGGATTTTTTTAAAGGAGATAATAAACTGTTAAATTTACTGGAGATATACAAAAAAGTTACCTTTCTTTGATTTTGCTCCAATTTTCAGTTTTGATGGCCATGTAATTTCTGTATTTGTTTCCTCCATAACCTGAATAAAAACATATTGTCATTAATTAGAAGGCATTTCACTTATTTGATAATCATGAATAATGCTTATGTCATGTAACTTCATTTTTTCATAACCAAAAAATTCCAAATTTACTGATAATAAAATCCAACTATGATATTGAATTGCATATCCTATACCTGTTGCTTTACAAGGCATCAGAGAGAATAAAAGAAACTATTCTGTATCCCTATCCATCAAAGAGTTTGACATTTTCTTTCTTATCTGTGCTAGTACCTTACACATCTTGGTGCAAAGAACAAAACCCCTGAACCTCCATTTTTCAATTTTTCAAATAAGTACAAAAGTCTTGACATATCAAATGACTATTCTAAAATCAAATGAGCACACTTGTTCACTGAAAATGGGTCTACTTTTAAAATAACAGACATAAAGAACACCAAACAGAGGACTCTATTACAGCATCTGATGTCCAACGGACAATACGTATAAGACACAAAGCACTGCGTGTATACGAGTAAACTGAAAGGATGTCAAAAGTTAGTATAAGGCCAGACAAATTTGAGAAGTTGGTTAACCAGCACACCTAAACCAATTTTCTTCGCACCCGATTTTTATCAAATGAAAAAATGCATTGGGCATTAGTTTGGTAAGTGTGGAAATTTGCAATCAGCCCTGTTTATATTCTAAAATCTTCTACACTATGGATTTGACATTACTTCCCAAATTAAACATTTGCTATTATGTTATGCATCATATGCATCAAATGTTAAACAACCAAAAGCAAAAACAAATTTTATCTGCTGGCCCTGTTTACTAAACAACTTATCAACTTTGTATGCCCTTTTGGGGCATTTTGACAATCTAAAATTCTTTCTATGTACATTGAAATAGGCAAATGTAATAAACAATTTCAGCGCAGCTTACCAAATAATGATGCTAAATAAGTTCATATGTTGATAATCTAAGGTTATAAAAGAGATACATTCAACTTTATTCTGACTTCATAATCATTGGTTAAGTTAACACGTAACTCCTTAGCCTAATTCAGTGTAAAAACAGGCAAATCCTTCTGTAATGATACTTGCTAAAGTTATTAATTGTCATAGAATGTACACAACGGCACCCCTACCACATAAACAAATTCTTCGGTTGTATTGATTTTTTGCTCCAAAATCTATTGCATTATTGACAACTTTACAAGCACTTATAGCCAATCAATATTTTTTGTTGGGGGCAAAGTTCTACCAATTAAACACTTCTCTAAAAGAAATAACACTTACAGTTATGCTTATAAAATAACTTGAACATGCAAAATTCTTGACATTATTTCTAACAAAATATTGTATGTTAGGCCCTAAGCATTTCACTCTGCATTCAACCTGTATGTGCATCACTCTTCAGTTAAGCATTCGTTTGTATTTTAGGGTCTGTCAACAGTCTATTTTCACATATATACACAAGAAAATTTACATCTGTTTTTTTGCTAAAAATTATGTTCGTTTTCTTTTTCTCTGATCTGGGAAGTGTTCTGTTATGTGCAATCTGCTCTGCCATTGATAACAGTTTAACCAATGTTATGAGCATCACTTAAAACTTGCAGGCAATAGTTACTTACCCGTTGGAAAAACTGTTCTGCTCCTTCCCCCATTCCATCAGCAGCAGCTTAAACAAAACAAAACACATGAAGTTAAACAAAGATCAAAATAATTCGAACTGAACACTGCAATTCTGTTCTTTTTTTCTATTGATTCCATATGTTGTAAAGACTTATCAATGGGATGGAAGGTGTCATTTTTTATGTGACCTATTGACAGTGCTTAAGCCCAGTCAATGAACATGTTAGTGAATTGTCCCCCAAACTATACTACATAAAAATAATTACAGAAAGTCACGGTTTGGAAGAGAAATTTTCACAATCTCTATCAATAAGATGAACAGAATTTTATATTATTTTTGACTTGACCTTAGAGACCAAGGACAAACAACAGGGGGAATAATCACCACCAGCTGATAGAGATAAGGGGTACATTTTGTGGCTTTAAATCATTCAGTTGTTTTAAAATCATTCATGACAAGAAGAGAAATGCATATTCTAGATGTAGCAGATAGCCCTTGGTGAAAATGTTTTCATACCTTAGTATCACAGTATGAAGGTGTGAGGATTGGAGCACAAGCCATCATACCATGCAGGATCAAGCAAGTGAGAAGGAAATTAGAAAAGGAAATACTGAGCAAGAACGCCCTGAAGCAGCCAATATGACACTTGAACTTGTCTTCAGATATATACCTCCAGAATAATGAGTACATCTTAACAAGGGTGTGGTACATATGCCATCCCTGACTCTGTTCCTGATTTGGGCAGTCTCGCCTTCTCCTTTGATTAAACCATATTTCATACTTATTACATATTGTTTTTATGTCAGAAATAAATCTACCAAAAAGTTTCTAAAATATCAAAGGTCAGTGAAAATGTGGAGGTGATAAGGGGGCTCATGGCATGAGAAAGGCCATGTTTTCCATATACAGTGGCAGCCAGTCTGGCACAAAGGAGTGTAAATATTCCAATTCTGGACATCAGATGAACAAATAGCCCTGCATTTAAAATCATGGCTAAGTTATTTAACAGTGTTTTGCCCACCTTGGAGTCATAAGTGGTTATATACTGTCTGAAACTATGTAAGTGTTCTCCAGTTATGTTGAGCTCATATTTCAGCAGAGATTAATCTGCAAGTGAAGCTCGCTCAATCATAAGAACTCACGTTTTTAGCAATCTGTAATTTC